GCTGACCCGCCAGGGGAGGATCGCTGCGGGCGCTGCCTCTCCGCCTGCCCTCCCCCGCCCCCATGCGAAGCCCAGGGCCCGTGAGGGGAGGACCGGATGCCCCCTGCCACTGAGGGGGGCTGGGACGAGAGCTGGGTGGAGGAACAGGGGCCCCGGGCGGTGCCAGGGCCAAAGGCGCCCGGGCGGAGGCAGCCAGTGCCCATGAGCGCCGGCAGCAGCTCTGGGCCGCGAGCGCGCATCCGGCCCCACGGGCCTCCTTGGGAGGGGTGACAGGCCAGAGAGAGACAGGGCCGGGCCGAGCGCGCCAGGGGCAGCTGCGGGGAGGGACAGCGTGGCCAGCTGAGCCCTGTGCCTACTGCAGCGGGGGCGGGAGGTGCCGTCACGGCCCCGCCGGGCACCCAGCCCCCCGGGGCTGCCTTCACCTCAGGCTCCAGTCCAGGGGGCCTCCGCAGTCCCCGGGTCAATGTGGTGTGCAGAGGTCAAGACTGCGTGTGGCCCTGGCACCCCGTGAAACTGGGAGGAGCTGCAGGGAGACTGTAGCCGGGAGGGAGGCAGGTGGCCTCCGAATGTGACCTCAGCCGGGTTGGCGGCAGGAGGTGGGGGGGGTGGGCGTGCTCCGCTGAGGCTCCCTGGGGGTCCTACTTCCAAGCGGCGTGCTGCTGGGGCGGCGCCAACCCCAGTGGCCGTTCAAGCCCCCCCAGGCCTGCGCGCTGTCCATACCCTGGCTTCCAGCCCTGGGCCCACGATGGTGACCTCGGCCTTGGCCTCCCCATCCATGGAGCTGCCTGGGAAGGGCCCTGGAGGCTGCGTCAAGCCCCTTCCAATCTAAGCTGGGTGTCACCCACGCCTGGCGTCTCTCCCTTCCAACCGCGTCCTCCAGCTCTGTCACCAGCAGGTGATGGCTGGTTTGCCACACTCCCGGACAGCACTGTTTTGCGATGACGATCCTCTCACAGCACTGAAATGTATGCCCTTTTGTGGCTGAAGGACAAAGCGTGGTGTTCGGGTGGTGGGTCACAGGACTTGTAGGACAGCCTGGAGCGGCCCCCCAAGTGGCACCTGCGGGGGCCCCCTCTCAGCTGCGCCCTAGAGGCCAGGGCCCCAGCCATTGGCTCTTCCCAACCCTGGCCACGTCTGCGGCACGCCACTGTGTGCCAGGCCCTGCCGACCGTCTGGGGGTAGGGTGGGGCTCCCCAGGACCAGGAGGGGCCGCTGGGCAGGGCTGGGCACACACTGACCCCTAAGAAGCATGTCCGTGCGTCCCCACCCAAGACCCTCAACACAGACGACACGGCTGACCAGCGACTGCTGGGGAGCGGCAGGAACACCAGGCTTCCTGCAATGAGCCCTGTGAGGAAGTGCAATCACCCCTGGGAGATGTGCCTGCCAGGTCCCAGAGAAGGTGCAGAGTCCCTAGGCAGCAAGAGGGTCTGCAGACATGACACTCAGCTGTGCTGGGGTGAGTGCCCCCACCTCAGCTCCTGAACCCCAGATGTTCAGGCTCACCATGGCCTCTGGTCCCCCCTGGGCCTTGTACCCACAGCAGGCACACAGCAAGTACACAGGTATACAGCAGGCACACAGCAGGTACATAGCAGGTATACAGCAGGCACACAGTAGGTATACAGCAGGCACATAGCAGGTATACAGCAGGTACACAGCAGGCACACAGCAGGTATACAGCAGGTATACAGCAGGCACACAGTAGGTATACAGCAGGCGCACAGCAGGTGCACAGCCAGCAAACAGCAGGTATACAGCAGGCGCACAGCATACAGCAGGTACACAGCAGGCACACAGCAGGTATACAGCAGGCACATAGCAGGTATACAGCAGGTACACAGTAGGCACACAGCAGGTATACAGCAGGCACATAGCAGGTATACAGCAGGTACACAGCAGGCACACAGCAGGTATACAGCAGGCACACAGTAGGTATACAGCAGGCGCACAGCAGGTGCACAGCCAGCAAACAGCAGGTATACAGCAGGAGCACAGCAAGCCTGCTGACCGCTCCACAGCCCACAGCTCGGTGAGCCAGCGAGGGTGCTCCCGTGAGAACCGACACCTCGCAGCCACCTTGGCCGCCCCTTCTTGGGGCCCCGCCGTGCAGAGGCCCTAAGTCCCACCAGTGGGTCCACGGGCCGAGGCCGGAGCAGGCTGACTGCAGGGTGCTGGGGTCCTGCCCACAGGGCGCTCAAGGGGGCACCCTGGGGGTTGTCCGGGCGGGTGGGCACTCACGGGGGCCACAGCTGAGCTCCTCGTCTCTTCCACCCGGGCAGAGGCCGGCAGCCAGGCTGCGGGGGCTCCACAGAGGGCGGGTGGGGCGGGGCGACCGGGCTGGGCCGGTGGGCTCGGCCTCCCAGCTGTCCTCATGCCGAGACAGGGACCCGGGCACCCGCGCCAGCCCACGGCGTCCACGGGTGACCCCTGGGCTGAGCTCTGTCTGGCAGTCCCGCACAGGGACAGGGAAGGCCCCTGGTGCCTGCAGGACGTCACGGGGGACGGGGGAGGGCCCCCGGTGCCTGCAGGACGTCACGGGGGACGGGGACGGCCGCCTGGTGCTGCAGGACCTCACGGGGGACGGGGCCCAGGCTGACTCAGGACCCGTGAAATCCTTCTGGGACGAGAGCCCGGCATCGTGGCTGAGGCTGGGCACGACTTCTGCGCTCCGCGGGCTGCCATGGTCCATGGACACCCCGGAATCCGCTCCTGCCCAGAGGCTGCCCTGCACACGCCCCGAGCCCAGCGGTCTTGACGTCACCCTTGGCAACATGCTGACGCAAAAGCCGGCAGGCGGGAGTGGGCCCTGGAGGGGGGAGACGAGGCTGCAGATGCCAAGCGGGGAGCCGGGGGGAGCTCTATGGGGCTGCGTCTGGAGCCTGGCACTGGGTCCCAGGCCCCTCTGGTTTCTCGGGGCCACCCGGCCTCCACCAGGGCCCTTGGAGGCAAAGGCAGCCAGCCCCCCTTGTGGCCAGCGGTGGCGGGACTCACGGGCGGCATTGTCTCCGCCCGGCAGTGTTTGTTTTCCATCGAGATACTGCTGCTGGAGCATGAAAGGTCAGAACCACTTGGAATCCAGTGAATTTCCAGCCCTGCTTGAGTTTCTCATTGAGAATCTCCTTTTCTGGTGAACAGTCACCTCCCCAGGCCTGCGGCACCCAGGCGGGGGGCAGGCTGGGGGGGCTCTCGCTCCAGGAAACACTGTGACGGCCCCAGAACCTCTGGGATGACCCACGGGCCTCGGAGAAGCCGCCTGTCCACCTGACCGTCCACTGGGCTCAGCCTGGCTGCCACTTGTCCACACGTGACGGGGCCCCGGTGTACGGAGTGGCAACGTGTGGGCACCTGCCAGGCGGGGGTGACGCCAGAGCTGAGACCTGCTGGACAGGGTGGAGTGCAGGGGACAGGGCGGCCGCGTTCCTCCATGGAACACAGGACGCCCCGGGGCCCGGACCCCCATGCCCCTCTTGAGCCAGCACTCCTGTGGGCGCAAGCTCCACGGCAGGACATGCCGGCCGACAGCCTGGGCACCCCGCCCGGCACTGAGGGAATTCACCCCGCCTGGCCTCCCGTCCTGGAGACAACACAGGAGGCGGCCTGGAGATCGGGCCTCCAGAAGGCCTCAGGGCCCAGGGCCACCACCAGCCAGCCCTAGGGGAGCTGAGACAAGCCAGTGCCAGAGAGCCGGGGGCCGGAGCCTGGGTGGGCACACACCCACCTGGGCAGCCCGCATCACCTCAAAGGCCAGGTGGCCCCACACCCTCAGCTGTGCTCAGCAAGGAGCCTGGCCTCGCCCCGCCGCTGCCCAGGATCACACGCAGGACCCAGCAGCGGGGGCGGGCGGAGGCGGGCGCAGCTCTGGGAGGGAGATGGGCTGGCCCCAGGGCCTGCAGGCTGGCCGGAGCCCCACGCTGGAATCGAAAACCTCTTCAGGGCCAACTCCAGGCCTCTGCTCAGGACTCCTGCCCGACTCAGACCCTCCAGGGGTCCTGCCTGTCTCAGACCCTATGCTGGGGGGCAGCCCAGCCACACCACCCCTGGGCGGCTGAGCGGCCTCCAGCACTGTGGCTCCCGGCGCCGGGGCCGCCTGCCTAGCTGGGCCTGCTGGCCACTGCCCAGCCTCCTTGCGGGGGGCCTGCCCCCCAGCCTGCCCAGCAGCTACCGTCAAGCCCCAGAGTCAAGTGTCAAGCCTCCCGAGCCCAGCTGGCCCTCGGCAACCTCCTATACTGGCCCACACGGCTCAAGGCTGAGCCCCCAGCCCACAGGGTGGTCCTCAGCCTGGCAGGAGGGCCTGAAAGAATCCCCAGCCCGTCCCCGACCCTGGGGACGAAACCTCAGAGGAGGATCTTCACCCTGCGGCTGACGGACGCTCAGGACAGGGTCAGGTCGTGGGGCCCAGACCGAGCCCGGTGCTCGGCTGGGGGGAAGCCGCTGTGGTCACAGAACCGCTGCACGGACCCGCGACTGGCCGCCTGCGCCCCCGGTCCTGCCGAGCAGCCAGTCTCCGCCCCGCCGCCCGGGTCCCTTCCCCATACACCTGCTGACCCCCTGCTGACCCCCTTCACCTTCAGCGAAGCGTCTCGGGGTGCCAGCCCCCCTTCCTCCCCGCCCCAGGAGGTCCACGGGCTCTGAGGGCCGGGGAGCAGGCCCCAGCCGGCCCCCCGCAGTCCAGAGCAGCAGGCACAGGGTGTGGCCTGCTCGCAGGCCCCCTGGGCACCCTAAGGGCTCTGTGGCCCAGGGCGGTCTCCCTGCCCGGGGCTGCGGGTACAGTGGTTACTTCGTCAGAGTGGGCCGGGGGTCCTGGACTGGAGCGGCCACCGAGGGCTGCACTCTAGGCGGACGTCCTGACGGCAGGTGCGACCCTGAGGTCCTCGCTGGGGACAGCAGCCGCCCAGGCTCCCCTTGCATGACGGCGGCGGCTGCCACCTCGCCCCAGGGGCCTCACCTTCCCGGGGGCTGCGCCTGCAGCGGCGCGGAGAAGCCCGCCACGCACTCACCGTCTGGTTGTCCTCGTAGAGCTTCAGGTCGTAGCCGCTGAGCTCCACGCAGAAGATGATGGCGGTGACGCCCTCGAAGCAGTGGATCCACTTCTTGCGCTCTGACCGCTGGCCGCCCACGTCCACCATCTTGAAGGTGAGCTCCTTGAAGGTGAACTTGTTCTCCACGATGCCCGTGGTCATGTCCCGGGAGCGCAGGATGTCCTCCACGGTGGGCACGTAGTCGGGGGCGGCGATGCGCTCCAGGTCGTTCAGGTAGTAGGCCGCGTTGTCCTCCAGGTGGTACTCGCTGGAGCGGCCGAAGCAGGCCTGCGCGCCGGGGTCGGCCCACAGCCGCCGCATGACGCCCAGCAGCTCGGGCGTGATCTCGCCCTTGCTCTCGGCCGGGCCCGTGAGCGCGAACAGCTGCACGGCGTCGTAGGCGCGGTCGGGGTTGTGGAAGTCGATCTTGAGCGCAGCCAGGGCGCGCACGATGCGCGTGAGCGAGTCAATGGCGTTGTAGACGATGAGCGGCTTGTACTCGCGGCAGGCCTCCAGGTTGAAGCCGCCGCTGTGCAGGATCTTCATCTGCTTCACCACGGTGCTCTTGCCCGAGTTGCTGGTGCCCAGCAACAGCAGCTTGATCTCGCGCCGCTGCCGCTGGCTCTCCGAGCGCAGGTGGCGGTCGATGCGCCGCGACCGCCGGGCCGCCTCTTTCTCCTCTGAGCTTTGCCGGCATCCCATGGTCCGGCCGGGCAGCACCAGGGGCCCACCAGCCGCGGGGGGGAGTTCGGACGACGACCACGAACGACGACGCTGAGACGAGAGGATCCGGCCGGGCGCACGCGCGCGCGCGCGCGCGCCCCGGCGGAAGGAGCCGGTGCCCGCGCGCCCGGGCAGAGGGAGCCGGTGCCGGGCGGCGGCGCTCAGCGCGCCTGGGGGCGCGAGGCCGTGTCCCGCTGCAGCCCCTGCCCTGGCGCCCCCCCTCCAGCTGGCATGGCGCTTCCGCCGCGGGAGGCGGCCCAGCCCCCCCCTCAGGGACACTCCGCCGCCCCCCCGGCCCACGGGGCCACCACCGTCATTCCCTGTCCTCCGGGTGGTGGGAGGCCGGCGCGGCTACTGCTGGCTGGGGGGCGACTCCCAGGGGCGTGACTGCAGGGCGGCGTGGGCTCCCAGGTGCGCTGACGTCCAGGGCTCTCCCTGCAGCGCCGGAGGCCTCGGTCATCCGCCCTTCACCTGCCAACGAGAGAACAGCGTGAGCCTCCTCCCACCACAGGCCAGCGGGGCGGGAGCCCTGGACGGGCCTGGGAGGGGGGATGAGGAACCAGAGCCCTCCCACCCCGCAGATCGCGGCGCACCTGGAGACGCCCCCGAGACGCCTCTGCTGAGGGCAGTGACTGAACCACGGCCCAGGCAGCGGCGCCGCCCCAGCGAGGCTGGCCATTTGACTTAGAACAGAGACCCCAGATGATCCCCACCAGGCATGCAGCGGGCCACGCAGGGCGAGTACTGAGGTCAATGTGCACACAATGCGGGCAGCAACCACACGCGTGTGCCCACAGCACACACATGTGAGCAAGGGGTCTGTGAAGTCAGTCCGAGCAGCAGTGAGCTCTAGGTTGTGGCAGTTCAAGCGACTTGTGCCTTTCACCACGTTTCCTCCACTCCCGTCCACAAGCTGCGTCCTAAGAAAGGTCTACAGACAGGAGTCCCCGCCTGGAACCTGGCGGGGGCCAGGTGGGTGTGCGGGGCAGGGGCCCAGTGGCTGACCCCGCCCGGCCCTTGGCCAGCGGCTCTGCGTGTCTGGCTCCAGCCAAGCGGCCGCCCAGGGCTCCCGGGGGCCCAGCCTCCTGAAGGTAATGCCAGCCACACTCGGGCTGCCTGGTGTCGCCAGTTCTGATTGTCTCAATTTTGGGCCATAAAGTCTTGCATGCAGGCCCAAGTGACCAACTCCCTCAGCTGGTCGGCAACAGGGACAAGGGTTAGCCAGGAGAGCAGGTCCCTCCCGCTGTCCGGGGCCACCAGAGGCAAGCAGGCCCCCCGAGGTGACCCCCACACCCCTCGGGACACAGGCCAGCCCAGGCAGGGGACGCGGCCCGGGGTCCAGCGGGCCCGTGCCCTGTGTGCAGGGCGGTGTCTGGATGGACGGCACCGATGCTGAGTCCGCGTGGTGCTGCGCACAGCACCTCCCCGGGGGGCCCACCCGCAACCCACCCGCTCCCTCGTGGGCCCCCAGTGGGCTCCCCCCGCCACCACCCCGCCCTTTCTCAGGTCTCTCCTTCCAGGTCGAGACCCTTACCAAACCCCACATACAAAAATTAACTTAAAAAAGACCAAAGACCTAAAACTATAGAACTCTCACCAAAAAGCACAGCAAAAGCTGCCTGACACTGGGTCTGGCATCCATTTCTGGGACGTAACACCAAAGTACAGGCAACAGAAGAACAAACTGGATTTCATCAAAATTTAAAAAGTTTGTGCATCAAAAGATGGCATCAACAGGTCAAGAGGCAAGCCACAGAATGGCAGAAAACATCCGCAAACTTTGTACGTCCTAAGGGCTCAGCATTGAGAACATACGCAGAACTCCTGAAGTTCGACGACAGAACACAAGCTGATTCAAAACTGGGCAAAGGACTCAAGTGGACATTTATCTAAAGATACGTGAATGGCCGAAAGCGCGTGAAAAGATGCTCAGAATTGCTAAGCATTAGAGAAACATAAGCCAAAACCACACTAAGATACCCCCTCACAAGCTGTAAGGAGAGTTACTACGTGAACGAAGTGAAATCCTTGTGGACTGCTGCTGGGAAAGTCAACTGGTGCGGCTGCCGTGGGAAACAGCCCAGAGGGGCCTCGAGAGACTAAAAACAGATCTACTCCACGAGCCGGTGAGTCCACTTCTGGGTGTAGACCCAAAAGGACAGGCAGCCGGGTCTCAGCAAGATACTCGTTCACCCGTGTTCACAACAGTGTTATCCATCAACGGCCAAGAGGCGGAAGCAGCCCAGCGGCCACCTACAGGACAGAGGGGCACACGGGCCGAGGAATGTGATTCAGCCTCAGAAGAGCAGACGCCCGTGACTTGGCCACGACACGGGCGGATCGCAGGGACACAACGCCCGTGACGCGGCCATGACACGGGTGAGCCGCGGGGACACGACGCCCGTGATGCGGCCACAACACGGACGTATCGCAGGGACACGATGCCCGTGACACAGCCACAACACGGATGGACCACGGGGACACGGCGCCCGTGATGCGGCCACAACACGGATGTATCGCAGGGACACGACGCCTGTGACACAGCCACAACACGGATGGACCACGGGGACACGGCGCCCGTGATGCGGCCACGACACGGGTGAGTGTGGGGACACGATGCCCAGTGAGGCAGGCCTGGCACTCGGGACAAACACCGTTGTGATTCTAATTCTCCGCGGTCCCGACCCGGGTCAGAGGCGTGGAGACTGAAGGTGACGGTGGTGCAGGGCCGGCAGGGGTGCCGTGCTTCACAGGGAAGGCGTCTCGGTTTAGGAGACGGGCAGGCTCTGGAGACGCTGCCGGGCGTGGCTGCACGACCTGGCTGTGCTTGAGCTGTGGGACTGCACCCGAATTCACTCGGTTAAAGGGGCTTCCCCAGCGCTCCCGCGGAGAGGAACCCATCTGCCAGCTCGGGATGGGTTTGGGCGGAGAGGGTTCCGTGGGCTGAGGAGGAGTGACTAAGCCCGTGGGCCACAACGACCGCACCTGGAGCCCGCGCTCCGCCAGGAGAGGAGCCGCCGCAGTGAGACGCCCGCACACCCCAGCCCGGTAAGGGCCCCCGTTCCCCGCACAAGAGGAGAGCCCCCCCGCGGCCACAGGACCCAGCACGGCCCAAGAGAGAAGAGTGAAGAAAAAGTTAAAGGATAGTTACAGGGCTAAATCTCATTACGCCTATTTTAACGCCCCCGTGAGAAAGGTGGGGCTGGTCACGTGGTCCTTGACCAGGGTGGCCACGGGGGTCAGAGGGCGCCCGTGCCCGTGGGCTGAGTCTGGGAGCCGCCACAGGCGGGCCGTGCGCGGGCCATCAGGACCAGGCCCAAGGCCCCCGAGAGCCTCCCTGCAGCTGCACAGGGCTCAGACACAACCCCGGGGGTCTCCGTGGCAGGGCCGGTGCTTTGGGTCAGCCTCGGGACCCCCGAGGGCGCCTCCAGTCAGCCCAGAGGCACAGGCCCAGGGCTGACACCACGTCCTGCCCTGGCCAGGAGCCGCTCTCCAGTCCCCAGCGCCTGACACCCGGGATCCCCGCTGCGGCGCTGCTGGGTCTGCCTGGATTCCAGAGGCGCGGGGCTGGGAGAGGCAGGTGGGGGGCGCAGGGGAGAGACTGACTGGGGAACTTAGCGAGGGCAGGGCCCAGACAGAGGAGGGGAGAGGGGAGAGACGTGGGCAGAGGGGCAGGCTGGCCAGTAGCCCACGGTGCACGCCAGGGACCAAGTGGTGAACGTGCTCACACACATGCAGACCCGTGCCCATGTGCGGCACTGCACACGTGTGCACACGCTGGTCGAGGGACGTGCCTGCTTGCAGGTCCATGTCTGTGCACAGGCGGGTGCGTGCATGCATCTGTGCCGCCGCGTGTGGTGTGTGACAAGAGGCTGCCCGTGGACTCGGGGCCCTCGCCCACAGTTACTCACTGGCCTGGCCGGCGGGCAGTGGGGGGCCTGCTGGAGACCCTCGACCCTCGAGGGCGGGCATCGGGCCAAAGGCGGCAAGTGAGTGGTGATTGGGGCCCAGCCTTAGAGTGCAGGCTGGGGTGAGGTGCTGGGCTGCAGGGGTGCACCAGGCTGGCCTGGGGGAAGTGAGGATGCGGGGGGCTGGCCTGACCGCGGCGGGCGGCCTGAGCTCCGTCTGGCTGTGAACAGCACCCCTGGGCGCGGCAGGCTCTGCACACAGCGGTCCGGGCTGGTGGGCGCCTGGGGTCTGGCCCAGGCTGGGAGGGGGTCGCTCTGGGGGGGGGGGACCCTGGTGGGAAGGGGGCTCAGTGTGCACGCGTGGACCATCCTGGGCCCCCTGACAGCTGCAAGGGGAAACCGCATCCTCTGAACCTCTTGACACGCTCCATCCTGGCCCCCTCAGCAGCCTTGTGGACTTGCCGACCCGTCTGCCTGCAGACCCGGGGGCCACCTGGGCAGGACCCCCAATCCCAGAGCCCACTCAGGACCTCGCGGCGGAAAGCCGCCCTCCCTCCCACAGCCTTGAGAGGGACGCTTCCCCTCGGAGCTTCCCTGTCCCGACCTCCAGGCCCCGCCCTGGCCCCTTCCCAGGACACGGCCCTCCCAGGCCTCAAGTCACAGAGCACGGTGCCAGCCTGGGGCCAGGGCGGGGGTCTCGGGCTCAGTGGGGCCCTGCATGTCTGCTGAGCTGCACCCTGGACGCCCCCCGGGGCCTGGCCCAGACCTCCAGCCCTGAGACTCCTGGGTCTACTGCCGCCCTCCCCACGGCCGCATCAAGAGCTGGAGCACGGCTGTGGGACCGCAGCCCCCAACTGCGTGCCCAGCTGCCCCCCGCAGTCGCCACCCATGGCACCAGCAGGGAGCCCAGGGCCAAGGTCACCCAGGGTGTCGTGCCCAAGCCAGCCTAAGCCAGAGGGTCTCTGGGACGGAAGACGGCTTATCGGCTTAGAAGCCGAGGAGCCCTGGACCCAGCGGGCGGGGCGGCCTCGTCCAGCCCCTGCTTCCTCGGAGGGAGGCAGAGATGAGACAGGGCAGCCCCCTCCCCCAGGAAAGCCCGCTCCACGCTGAGCCCTGGGATCCCAGGCAGGGCTGGGCTGGAGGGGGCGTGTGGGGTCTAAGCAGAGGTCGCTCGTGTTGGGCAGTCGTGCGGGGCATCAGGGGAGAACCCCAGGGCGGAGGGCAGCCCAAACCCCAGGCAGGGCTGGCGCGGTCAGGCAAGACGACCCCAGCGCCGGGCCGCCAGCCTGACGCCCTAGCCAGCATGCGCCCGGCCCCCAGGGTTGGGGCCCCTGGGAGAGAGTGGTGGGGGCTGCTTCCCCCAGCCCCCTGCAGCTGTGCGTGGGCCGCCAGCCTGAGCCCCAGCGCCCGGGGCCTGGCCACACACCTCTGCCACTTGCCTCCGGGCCGGGATGGTCTCTCAGACGGGGGCCCCCGGCCCCAACCTCCTGGGCCACCGTCCCTGCTGACCCCACCACCCCCAAGGAAAGACGGTCTCCGCCCGCCCGTGCAGGCAGTCAGCTGCGGTCCCGCATCCCGCGCCACGCGGACACTTGTGCCTGAGCACCGGGTCCCCGTGTGCCCTTGCTGGGTCTGCGGAGTTCGGCCTGGACCCGTCCGCCTATGGTCTGACTGCCCCCCCCTCCCACCGCTGGGGGCCCCACCTCCACCCGCTGAGCACGAGCTGTGGCCCCAGGACGGGGCTTTGGCCTCAGGGCTCACGTTCCTGCCTGGCCGGCCGGCCCAGGCCCACAGACACGTGGGGTGGTCAGCTCGTGTCCTCAGACTCAGGGCAGCTGTGGGCTGGGCCTCAGGGACGCTGTGTCCCCAGGAAGCTGGCACGCTGGGGTCCGAGGGAGGGCCTGGCTGCACCCTCAGTGTCTGGGGCCCGCGGGGCACGGCCTTCACCGCCGTCCCGCAAGCACGGCTCCCATGTCAGCCGCATGGGGTGCCCGGAGCTGGGCACGGCACCCCAGGAATAGGACTCAGGTCTAGGGAACGGGCAACGCCCCCGGGGCTGCCTGTGGGGTGGGGGCCCTCAGACCCCCGGGAGCCCCGGCGCTGGCACAGCTGGTGGTCACCTGTTCTCGTTGCATGCAGCCCCGTTTTCTCTAAGCTGACTGCCTTCTCACCAAGACATTTCTGCTGTAAAACTGGCCTCTTGTTCCTGCTTCGAACAGAAAGCCCACATCGCAGCTCCGGCCGAACGAACGAGACCAGCGGGGTTGTAGCTGCCAGCCCGGGACTGCTGGGAGGCCACGGGCCCGCTCCCGCTGGACAGTGGGGTCAGCAAGGCCGGGGGAGAGAGTTCACAGGCTCCAAACGGGGGCTTCCCCTCAAGGGAAAGGACAGAGGAGGGAGGCGGCCAACCCGGTTGGAGGGTACCGCTCAGGCCCTCTCCGTGGTCCAGCGGCCACCCAGCCCCCAGCATGCAGAAGGGTGCACCTCGGCTGAGCCCCTCCCTGCTAGGACGGGGGGAGGGCGGTGGTCAGTGCTGCTCCCTTGGCCTCGCTCAGCACAGACACTGTCTCAGAGAACTGCTCCGCCCTGACCCCCTCAGTCCGCTTCATCAGACCACAGCCTGAGGCCCTCCCGATGGGCGACCATCCCCACCCAGGCTTGTCTGACCATTGTGGTGCCCTCGGGGGCCTGAGCTGGGTGTCAGGCTCCGCTCTGGGCTCGGGGACACGGGGGTGAGTCTGTGAACCTGGGGACTTGTGTTCTGGTGGGGGAACCGGGGAAGAGCACCCAGCGGCTTGTATTCTAGTGGGGGTACCAGGGAAGAGCACCCGGCGGCTTGTGTTCTGGTGGGGGAACCGGGGAAGAGCACCCAGCGGCTTGTATTCTGGTGGGGGTACCAGGGAAGAGCACCCGGCGGCTTGTGTTCTGGTGGGGGAACCGGGGAAGAGCACCCAGCAGCTTGTATTCTGGTGGGGGTACCAGGGAAGAGCACCCGGCGGCTTGTGTTCTGGTGGGGGAACCAGGGAACAGCACCCGGCGGCTTGTATTCTGGTGGGGGTACCAGGGAAGAGCACCCAGTGGCTTGTGTTCTGGTGGGGGAACCGGGGAAGAGCACCCGGCAGCTTGTGTTCTGGTGGGGGAACCAGGGAAGAGCACCCGGCGGCTTGTATTCTGGTGGGGGTACCAGGGAAGAGCACCCAGTGGCTTGTGTTCTGGTGGGGGAACCGGGGAAGAGCACCCGGCAGCTTGTGTTCTGGTGGGGGAACCAGGGAAGAGCACCCGGGAACTTGTGTTCTGGTGGGGGAACTGGGGAAGAGCACCCGGCGGCTTGTATTCTGGTAAGGGAACCAGGGAAGAGCACCCGGGAGCTTGTATTCTGGTAAGGGAACCAGGGAAGAGCACCCGGGAGCTTGTATTCTGGTAGGGGTACCAGGGAAGAGCACCCAGGAGCTTGTATTCTGTTGAGGGTACCGGGGAAGAGCACCCGGTGGCTTGTATTCTGGTGGGGGTACCAGGGAAGAGCACCTGGCGGCTTGTGTTCTGGTGGGGGAACCAGGGAAGAGCACCCGGCGGCTTGTGTTCTGGTGGGGGAACCAGGGAAGAGCACCCGGCGGCTTGTATTCTGGTGGGGGTACCAGGGAAGAGCACCCAGTGGCTTGTGTTCTGGTGGGGGAACCAGGGAAGAGCACCCGGGAACTTGTATTCTGGTAGGGGTACCAGGGAAGAGCACCCAGGAGCTTGTATTCTGTTGAGGGTACCGGGGAAGAGCACCCGGTGGCTTGTATTCTGGTGGGGGTACCAGGGAAGAGCACCCGGCGGCTTGTGTTCTGGTGGGGGAACTGGGGAAGAGCACCCAGCGGCTTGTGTTCTGGTGGGGGTACCAGGAAGGGCAGCGCTGTGGAGATGGGAGTAGGGTGTGTGTCGGGGAGCTGTTCCAGGGGTGTGGTGGGGCGGGCCAGGGAGCTGACCCTGGAGGAGACAGGCCACCTCACAGGGGTGGGGGAGGCCAGGGTGGGGACACCCCAGCTGACACTGCCCAAGAGGCGGCTCAGCGGGGCAGCAGGGACCTGCTGGGCCAGGTTAAGGGCAGGCCCACCCCAGTAGCGTCCCTCCCATGGTTCCCCAGGGGGCAGCTCAGTGTGGGCTCCCTGGCAGGGACCCCCAGGGGCCAGAGGGCAGAAAGTGCACGCCTCCCACCCGGAGACGCCCACCCTCCTGGGTAGATGCCGCTTGTGCCGGAGGCAGGGACGTGCTGGCCACAGGGCTTCCCTGGAAGGGCCCTCAGGGCGAGGGCAGGCCTCAGCTCCCTCCTGCCCCAGCTTCAGCTGGGGGTGGGGGCCTGGCAGACATCACTGCAGCAGAACCAGACTCTCTGCTGCTTCCAGACACGACAGCACCTTCTGAGATGACCCCTGCATGCCCAGACGCCAGGAACACTGGTCAGGACGGGGACAGGCCGCCCTCCCAGCACCTGCCCCCTGGGCAAAGCCAGCCTCCCTCAGCGTCCCCCCCAATGCCCACAGCACCCTGCCCGCGCCCCCCACCCTGCCCACACACCCCCCGCTGCCCACACACCCCCCCCACCCTGCCCACAGCACCCCGCCCATGCCCCACCAAGGTCAGGGAGACTCTGCTCCTGAGCGCCCGGCCACAGCAGTGCCTTTGAGACCTAACACCTTTCCCAGGGACCCTGAGCCAAGGCCTCCCCCAGGACAGCCCTTCCTCGGCCCCGCCCGACTCCGCGCCCCCACCCCGGGCACCGGCTCCACGTCCCTCTGAGCAGACGGAGCTCCGGGCACCCAGTTCGGAGCTGACCCTCAGGTGACCTCACCCAGGGGCCCAGGGCAGGGGGTCCCCTGCACTGACCAGTCCCAACACCCCACATCCCAGGCCTCTGGGACCTCTGCCCTCCCCGAAGGCCCAGGGCACCCCCAAACAGCAGGCGGAGCCCCCAGGCTCAGCGAGGACTCTCGGGGGGCCCTGTCACCCCCAGCGCCCCGCTCTGGAGGAAAGGGTCCTCTTGAGCCCCCCTCCTGCCCACCTCGCCCTCTCCCAGCCAGCTTCTGTGTGCCCACCGTCACGACCGCTTCACCTCCCGCTGAAAGCAAAACGGCGCCCGGGGGCGGGCAGTGTGGACCCCACACCCCCAGCCCCCCGAGGGCCCGGTTGGCCCCCTGCCCCCTGCACGCTGCGACTCTCCCCGGACGGCCCGAGAAGGGGCTTCTTCCCACCCCTCCTCGACCTAAGGCTGAAAACCCAACCCCGCGGCTTACGTACTTGGGATCCGCCCAGGACCCAGAATGGCCGTCCACCACGGGCCCGCCAGCCGGGGAGGGGGTTTGGAAGTGACCTAGAGCAGCGAGTCACCAGGAGACACCCACCGAAAAGGCGCTCTCTCGCCAAGGCTGGGGCACCCGGCCTCCCGGGAGCGGGCGCTGTCCCTGCCGGCCCCGTGTGCAGCCCTGGGCCCGGGTCCCTGGCCCGCGTGGTCCTGCCCCACGCTGACTGCAGCTTCCCCAGGCTTCCCAGGGCGTGGACTCCCCGCGGCAGCCCCTGCCATCCGGCCCTGTCCACGCTCCCGACACTCGAGGCCGCCCTCCCGGAGACCAGGCCGGTGGGCGTGCCCTCGGGCTCAGTCAGGGGCTCTCGACCTGCGGGGGACGGGGTGTGGGGGGGGTACTGAGGTCAGGAAAGATGTGTAAGTGACCCTCACTTCCTTATTCACAACAACGTCCGCGAACGTGGGGAGAAGGGGGACTCGTGCCTGGGAGACTCCACTGGCTCAGGGCCTGGGGACCCCCAACTCTTGTGCGTCTCTGCAGCTAACCCCCCGGCCCACCACGGGCCGGGCCCCGTGCCCCAGCCTGCCTCCCAGATCCTCTGCGAGTGCCCCCCCTCGGAAGCAGCTCCCCGCCGTCTGCCTCCCCCCAGTCTCTGCCTCTCCTGGAGCCGGCTGCAGCAGATGGGATGACGGGGCCTGGGGGGCAGCGTCCCCAGCAGCGGGCGGCCCCTCAGCCTCGGGATGGCTAAAGACGACCGGGGGTAGGGAGGTCCCTTCCTCGGCCCGCAGCCACCACGGCAACCAGACGTGACATGACAGCATCTCCCAAGGAACACGAGACCAGGCTGGAGGTTTCTCCAGGCCGGGGGTAATGGCAGGCTCCACGCTCGCGGGGAGGGAGGTGCCGACCCCAAAAGCCTGGGGTGCAGCAGCCATCTCTCCAGCCTGGGTGAGGGCGGGCTGAGGACGGACCCCCTGAGCCCTGACTCCGCTGCGCGTGGCCCCAGCCCTGGCCTGCCCGCCCCCAGGTGGTGTCTCTCCTCCCGTCTTCCCACCTGGGAGTGGCGCACGGCTGGCCCCCCTTTCCCTCCCACTGCCCACCTTCCCGGCCCCCCGGGATGCACAGAGGCGGCAGGGTCTGCATCTCCAGAAAGTCAGGGGCCCCCGCCCACCGCAGGGCCCGGATGTGCACGCGTGCAGCCCCGGGGACCCTCCCGAGGCCGGTGGCCGCCCCAGGGGGCTCTCAGCAGCTGGCACCGCTCCTCCTGCTGAGATGGGCCACCCCCGGGGAGTGCCCAAGCCCGCGGCCGCCTTGACCCGATAGACAGGGCTCTGGAGGGGCAGGGGCTGACGCGGGACCTGGCAGGCGTGGGACCCGAGGTCACGGGGCGAGTTGGGGATGGCGGGAGGCTGGGCAGGGGCGCTGGCCCAAGGCGTGGATCCAGCTGCGGCCCCTTCCCGGCACTGACCCTGGGGGGCCTCCAGACGGGGAACGGGGTCAGCGTGCTGTCACCTGCAGGGAAAGAGGTTCTCTGGCTGGGGGGTGAGCTGACAGCTGTAAGGGGCACCGGGAAGGAGACCTGGGGGCACTGGCCGGGGCGTGCCTGCCCCCGCCCCCGACCTCCTGCAGCCCGAGGCCCCAGCCCCTGCTCTGGACTGCCCCCGACGACCCCTCGGGCCCTGGCTCCCTGCTCCCCAGGGACACACGAGGCAGAGCTGCTGTGTTCAGCGCCACCCCTGGTGTTACTTACGACCCCCCCCCACACACAACACCGTGGCTTCCTAACCTGCAGCATGGCTGGACCAGTGCGTGCGGCGGGTTCCCTCGTGCTTATGGGATGCTGGCTCCGCGGGGCGGGGCGGAGGCTGTGGGCAGGTTCTGTCACTAAGGTGTTCCGCGGCCCACAGGTACCCGGCAGGAAGCAGGTGCCAGATGAACGCACCCCGCCCTTTGTACCAAGCGAGGGAAGGGCCCGCTCCAGGCAGGGAGCAGCTGGCGGGGACTTCCTCGAAGCCTTCCAGCAAGGCCGGGGGCCGTCCCCCACCATGATGGACACGGTGGGTGCCCAGCCACACCCTGACCCGGCTGGCCCTCCGGCTGGGAAGCCTGCAGGCCCCACGCCCCCCGCCCCACCCTGAGGCCCCTCGCAGGCCCCAGCTGCCCACCCCCAGCCTCAGCCTCGGCACCCAGCCACCGTGCATGCCCTTCCCTTCCTCCGTCTCCTGCCCCAGCAGCGCCCAGAACAGCCAGCCACAGGCCTGGCACGCCTCTGCACTTCCAGAGCAGGGGGCTGTGGGTTCCATCCCTGGCCAGGGGAACAAAGACCCCCGTGTCTGCGCAGCACAGCCAAAAGCAGGCCAACGCACCAGGAGAGCATGCCGCCGGGCTGCGTGGGGCAGGGCCCAGCCCGGGGCGCGGTGGCTTCCTGGAGGCGGCGGGCGGTGCTGGGAAACCAGGGTGGCCCACCTGGACCCTCCTCCCAGATGCCGCCGCCCGCCGGGCAAGGCCGGGGATGGGCACGCGTGCCTGGTGTTATCACAGAGGAAATCGATGCTTGGCACCAGCCCAGTGTTTCAGGGAAATGAACAGATTCTGGCCGAGGACAAAGAGAGTTTGATTAATCAGAAATTGGATAATGGAGGCAACACTCTAATTATTTTTTTCTTCCCGGCGTTTTCTGGAGAAATATGTTTGCACAGCGCGTCAGAGATAACAGAGAGGGTGAGGGGGCGGCCACGCCGGGGGACAGAGCCACCACACCCACACACACCGACCAGGGCTGGGGGAGCGGGCTGGGTCCTGGGGGTCATTCCGAGGGGCCCCAGGAAGCAAGGGGGGACAGGTGGGCAGGCCAGAGGCACGCACACACCTCGGGACAGCGGGGCCCTGACCAGGAGGTCAGGCCACCACAAAACCAGGAGAGGCAGGGGCTGGAGGAGCCGGGGAGGGCGCGGATGGGTCAGCGGCCACTGGACCGCAGGCGGCACTTGACGGTCTGTGACCCCCACCCCCCACCCCCGCGCGGAGGACTCTAAGGGGCTCACTCCTAAGCACTTTAACGGATCCTCCAGGGACTTCCCTGCAAGCGAGCGCTGCCTCAATTTAGAAGTAAATAACTCCAAACTCTGCGAAGTGCAGGTTCCTTTGGAAAAGAGATGAACTCAGAGAAACCACAGTGTGTGAGGCTGCTCGCCACGCACACCCGCTGCTGCCAACAGGCTGCCCAGGCCGCTGCCATCTGGCCGCGCCTCCTGCCTGAGGGCCAGGCCCCACGAACAGCGCAGGAGAAGCCCTGCGCGCGGGAGGCCAGGCGGCAGCCCCTGCGGCCCCCGGGCTGGCTCCGGCCCAGCCGCCCATGGGCTGGGGGTGGGGGGCAAGGGAAGGACAGGGTGGGCACTGGCCCGGGGCACCGTCCCAGCACGACGGGCCTTGCTGGGCACACACACAGGGCCCCCCGGCCTGATGCTCTGCCACACGGTCCTCACAGACGCTTAATGGTGCGTAACGCGGGCCCCACAGACAGTGCAGCTGGTTCTGCTCGAAGTCCCCATGGGGGACCCCACCCCTCCCGCCAACACGCTCCTCCAGGCCCCCCACGTCCCAGCTCCTGGTCCCACCGGTCCTCGACCCCCGAGGAGCCTCACCGACCCCCTGCCCTGGCTCCTGGTGTGCGGACTCCAGGGCTCCCGCGCCCGCCGGCTCTCGCCTCGGACCGCCACGCGCGCCTGGGTCCACCCGCGTCGCTCCTGGCTCCCCGCATCCCACACAGCCTCTGTGGCCCCCTCCTCGCCGAGGCCGGCCCTGTCCTTCCAGAGCCGTCCTACCTCTTCCCCATCGGCGGGTCCTCTTTCAGCTGATCCCTGAATCCGACCCCTTCTCAGCGCCTGCTCCCACCCTGGGTCAGCAGCCCCTCGCCACAAACACTGCAGTGCCCCCCGCACCGTCCGCCAGGTGGGTCTATTTTAAAAGGGCGATCCCACCTGCCCGGCCCCCCAGGGCAGCCCCCTGACCCCCGGGCCTTTGCAGCGGCCACCCTTCCTCTGGCGCTCCTCCCTGGCAGGCACAGAGCTCAACAGAGCCTCTCCAAGGTGCTGTGTCAACGGCCCCTCCACAGAGACGCCCCCTCCCACCCGCCGCGCTGGTTCCCTTCACGGCATCGATCCTGCCTGACGCCGGTCATGGGGTGCCTGTCAGCCCTCAGGGCCTGAGTGTGCGCCATGTGCCTGCCCTTGCGCTGGGCAGGGCCCCAGCCCTCGCATAGAGATCAGCCAAAGGAACCCGCGGCTGAGCCAGGCGAGCGGGTGAGGTTCCATTTCCCCGGGGAGACAGGTGGTCCCTGTTAGTTAGCTCCCCTCTGGGAAGTGTCCCCACTGCCAGTGTGGACGCCGGGGAGGGCCACGCGGGGTTGGGCAGGGCCCTCCTGGATCTGCGTGCGGTGGGGACAAGGACAGGCTGGGCGGGGGCTGGGGAGACCTGCGGCCGCCCTGAGGCTCGCCGTGCTCCCCAGGGCTGCACAAGCGGCTCAGGGCTCCCGCCGGGCTGAGTCTCGGTGGCCACCCCGACGTCTGCGTCCGCTTGCCGGGGCCGCCTCCCTGCCAGCCCACAGAACCGGCCCTGGGGCTCGGCCGCCCTGCGCTTCCTTCCTGGGGTGTGGGGTGGCTAATCTGCCTCCTCCAGGGTTCCTGCCAGGCCAGCCGTGGCTGGCAGCCGGGCGCATGCCACACAGAATCCAGGTTCTTCGAGGGCCAGCACAGGGCGGTCAGGGAGGCCGTGTCCTCACGAACGGGCAGGAGGGCGCAGCACGCGGTGGGGTCCAGGCCTCCGGGGCCACGCCCCGAGTCTGAGGCCAGCCTTCCTTGCCACTCGACTCTGCGTCCCCCCTGACCCGGCCTCCTGCAGGGGCCCTGGGCAGCCTCGCCATGTGCCCCTGGTTACCCAGAAGTTCCTGGGATCGCCAGAGAAGCTCCAGACAATCAGACCAGGAACCTGTCCTCCCGGGACTCGAGGAGACAGGAGAGCTGAGAAGCGGGTGGTGGGGGGTGGGGCAGGGCAGACAATTCATTCCTCGCATCCCGTCCCGGCCTGGAGTCGGGTGGCAGGTCCCTGGAGAAGGGTCGGGCGAGGGTGCAGAGGTGAGCAGCTCCGGCCCCGAGCACAGGCCGCGCCCCACGAGGGCAGGCAGGCAGCCCGCTCTCCCTGCAGCGAGCTGGGCCTCAGCCAAGAGCTGGTGTGTGTCTGGGGGGGGGGGGGAGGCAAGGAGGGGGCGCACCGCGCAGAGAAGGAACATACAGCCCCTTCAGGAGGAGGGCGGAGACCCCTCGGCAGCGGGCAGAAGGTCACACCAGTGCTCACCTCCCGTCTCAGAAAGTCAGCGTCTGTACAACACACGCGCTTTACCCCCGACGCCAGCATCTCATCCCTGAAGCGCGAGGCACGCTGAAGGCACAGCACTGCCTAACCCAGGCCCTCCCGTGCCATCGGCCCCTCCCCAGAGATCCCCACGTCTCCACGGTTACAGCTCAGGAAGGTCCGCGCCCCGGAGGAACAGAGCCACCAGCTCACCACCATCACCCTCTGTGCTGGCCAGGAAGGGGGGAGCCAGGGGCTGGCCACCCAAGAGCCCAGCCCTGCTTGGAAGGGCCGGCCGAGGCCGCCAGCACCTGGGGTCTTCCGAGCTCTTCCCCAGTCCACTGGGCTCCGGGCCACGCCGCGGCTCCTCGCTCGGGTGAGGACACTGCAAGCCTCCCCGGAAGCGGCCGACGCTGACGGGCGCAGGGGGTCGGCTGTTCCTCCCGCGTTCCAGCCCCAGGCGGCCTCCGCCCTTTCCCGCCTGACCTCTGGTGCCCCTGCCAGACCCAGCCGCCTGAGTGCCCCCCCCGCCCCGCGTCTGCGCCTCGTCCACGTTCTGCCCTCTGCCCGCCAGGCCCACCCCAGCTGCGCCTGTGTCCTTCAAGCTCCAGTTCAAATGTCACTTTGCCCACGGGGCCCGGCTAAGTCCAGTCCCACCCAGGGGCCCCCGACGACACCCACCCTCAGGGCTGAGTTCTCCGAGCAACAGACACTTGTCCCTCCTGGGGCGGTGAGTCAGTCCCAGGAGGGCAGGGCCAGTCCACTCCCACCCCAGCACTGGGGCCTAGGGGAGCAAAAGCTCAGTAAACATTTGCTTAATTGAATTTGGCCAAGGAGCCTCCTCCAGCCGGGAGCAGAGGGACTCAATCCCCAGTTGGGGGTGGGGGTGGGGGGAGCAGGCAGACCAGCAACCCTCCTAGCAGGTGGCCCCTGCGTCCCCAGATAGACACAGGGCTCCCGGCCTGGGTGCCGCCTTCCCATCCCCTTTCTCTGCTCACAGAGAACCCCGATTCTCGGCCTAGGCGGATTTCTACCACCGACGCCCAGGGAGGCTCAGCTACCACCCTGAAGCCAGAAGCACCCTTGGGTCCCCGGAGCGGGACACGGAGCCCCGGCCCAAGGCCCTCCCGTCTCCTCCTCCCCGGACCCCAGGGCCCCCACCGCCTTTTAAGGGAAAAAATAGTATCGAGCCGGGAACATATTGCAATCGCAGCGGGTCGATATTCGCCTCTCGCTCTAAATGCCTCCGAGGAACCTGCTCGGCTGCGAGAGCGATGACCGCGAGTCGTGCGACCCCCGGGGGCCCAGGCCTCTGGGGCCCTGGCCTTCCGCTTCAGGCCAGGCCACGCGCCGGCCCCTCACCATCACCATCACCGCCCCGGGAGGGAGACCCCGCAGCTCCCGCAGCTCGCCGGCCCGCGCCGCGCGCCAGCGGCCGCCCGGAGGGCCCCCCGGCCCGCCCCACCCCTGGGCGCGGGCGCCCCTGCCCGCACCTGCCGGCCCGCGGCGCGCCGCCCCGCACCCGGCCCCCGCATCCCGGCGCCCCCCACCCCGGCCCGGGCGGGGCCCCCCTCCGCACAGAAGGCCCGGGCGGGGTCCGCGGCCCGCGCGCCCCGACCGCGGGGCCGCCCGCTCACCTCAGGGCCGCGGCCGAGCTGCTCCGGCGGCGCGGGGCGGCGGCGCCCGCGCGGGGACGTGACCGGGCCGCGGGCGGCACACACGCTCCGCCGGCCGGGCTCCCTCCGCCCGCTCTCCCGCGCCGCCGCCGCCGCCGCCGCCCGCGGGTCCGCCCGCCCGCCCCGCGCCGCGCCGCGCCGCCGACAGGAGGCGGAGCCGCCAGAGCGCAGTGTTGCCGGGCCAACCGCGGGCGGAGGCCCCCGCGCGCGCCGGCCTGCCGCCCATTGGGCGGGAGCGGCTGACGGACAGGCCCGCGGCCCAGCGACGGCGGGCCGAGGGGGCGGTGCCGGGGCTCCGTGCGCTCCGCGGTCCCGCACGCGCGCACCGCCCGCTCGGCCGGCACCCGGAGGGGCCCTGCGGTCTCATTGCGTCGAGGCCGGGCGCCCACCCTGCTCCCTGCCGCCGCCCCCGAGAGGCTGAGTGCGCGAGCGGTGCGTGGCCGCGGCCGCGTCCGCCGTCCCCGGTCCAGATCCCAACCTAGTCTGAGCTCCGCGACCTTGGATACCCGCTTGACCTCTGTGAGGCCTGTTTGCAAAGTGGGGCTAGCGGCACCTGCTGCCCTGAGCTGTCGCGACGGTCGCCTAGGACGTGGGAAAGGGCCGTGCGGACCCTGGAGGTTTACGCCGGCGACGTTTTGCAGCGGTGGAAGGGGGCCTTCGCTATCTTTGCTGCTCGGGCCAGCAGGGTTAGGCTCATCAGGGTCCCTGGCAACCCTGCCGCAGAAGGTTCGCCTTGGAAGGGAGGGCAGGAGAGTGGGAGGGGCCCAGGAGCGGCGCCTCCAGACCAGAGAGGCGGGAGGGAGCTAGCTCTGTCGAGGCCAGGGCCCATGGGCGCCATTGGGAAGCTCACAGACTGCTCGGATGCTCAGCGAAATGCAGCGAAGGGCAGTCTGCCAGCTTCTGCTTTCAGTTTCAGGGGGAGACCATCTGCGGGCCTCGGAGCCAGGAGCCAGGAGCCCCTGTGCTTAAAAAGACTCAGGCCAGAACCGAGATGTCCGTGCTCCCCCGTCCCCTGCGCTCCGTGAGTCCCGGAGCACCCAGGTAAATGCAGCTGCTCCTGCAGATGCTCCTCGCTGACCCTTCTTTATCCCCCTCCACCTCCTTGTATGGTCACAGTACGCTGGCTGAAGGAGATGGGGTGGTGGGCTAAGCCCAGGCCTGTGAATGTGCCACCTAGACACGGTCAGAGACTGGACAGATGTCGGCGATGGACATCCCGAGGTGGATGACTCACCGAGGTCTAGACTGGACCTGACATGTGCTGGCTGCAGGTGGCCCCCGAGGACCGGCGGGAAGTAGCCGACCATCGAGGCCTCCTGTGTGTGCATGCTCTCCCGCATCGCCAGGCCGGGTCATGATGGGCTTCTGCCCAGAGGGCCACTCGGAGCCCAGTGGCCATGACAGCAGATGACAGACCGTGCTCCAGGGTGGAGCGGAGGAAGCTGTACACCCTTGACGACTGAGTTCTCCCGGATGAGCCTCAGCTGCTGCTCCTATCACAGGGGACACCGGCAGGTGGTCCCGAGAGGGTGATTCCCACGGGAGATGCGTGTTGACACGTGTTCAGAGAGGGGCGGGGGCAACTGGGGGACCAGGGGTCTGAATTCAGCTGTTTGCAGAGGCACAGGTAGCTGGGAGCGTGGGGAGACCGGCAGGGCAGTCCAGGTATGAGATGAGGGCCCGGACCAGCCTGCCTGCTGCCCGGCCGCCCCCAGCCCCCTGACTGTGGAAGTGAGCATGCCCCCCACCTCGAGCAGTGACCATCGTCCTCCTTTCAGCAAGTACTCACTCCTCTGCGCTCAGGATGGAGGGGGCCCGTGAGCTGGGGCAGGAGGAAGCACATCCTGGGTGGGGCAGACCGCTGGGCGTGAGCAGCCTGTGGCCGGGAGGAAGCCAGAGGACCAGCGAAGCTGGAGCCCCAAGGATGCCACCTGCCCAGGCTGGGGTGGGTCAGGGGACTGTAGCCGCTGCTGGCGGCTCTTGGACGGGACTGGGGAGCTTGGCCTAAGAATCACGAGAGAGTTTTGGGTCTTAAAATTCAAGGAGGAGGATGGCAAGTTTCGTCTACGTTTCTTTTTACAGTCTTCACATTCATTTACAGTAGGCCTGGTCCCACAAAGTAGAATCAGGTAAAAAAAAATCAGCGAGTCAGCCCAGGGACAGGAAGAAAGCAGAGTCGGTCCATGAGGCTCAGGCCAGGCCGGGAGATGATGGGTGACCTGGCAAGTTTGGGAATGGCCGAGTGGAGGCTGGGGCCGAGAGGAGCCAGTGGGGGGCAGATGCCGGAGGCAGGGGAGGCACTTGTGAAGCCGCTGAGGAGGAGGAGGCAGCGAGGGGCCGTCCCAGGGCTGCAGGGTCGGGGTGGGGGATCTTGGGAGGAAGACGTGGTCAGTGGGTCAGGCGCTCTTGAGGGGCCGAGGAAGCTGAGGACAGAGCCGGGTCCCCACGAGCCAAGGCGGGCGCAAGGGCGAGCGGGGGCCGCAGGAGGCTGAGAAGCCAGACAGGCAGGTGGGCGTGAGGCCTGGTGAGGTCTGGGCGCCAGGGCGGATGCCAGGCCTGGGGGCCCGGTCCACGCTGCCGGGGAGAGCACAGCACAGGCTCCATGGGAGAAAGGGGGACGGGGCCCCCTGCTGACTGCACCCACCCAGGACCCGGCCACCAGCAAGGACAGCCGGCGAGAAGCTGCCCGCCTTGAGGTGGCCCTCAGGAAGTGGCCAAACCTCCACCGCAGCGGCTCCACGCCCGGGGATCACAGCCCTCGGCTCCAGCCATTCTTGGCCCAGCAGCCGCACCGGACCCCGGCCTCCCCAGGCACACGCAGGCATCACGCTGTTGCCCCACGAGGCCCAACTACCCCCGGGCCTCCAGGGCCCCTAGGACCTGGAATTCCCCGGCTACACGGGTCAGCCCTAGGTGGTGATGACCATCCAGCTGACTTTCCCACCCGCCTCCCCACCGCCCTAGGGCGCCCCCTTCTGGCCAGCTCCTCTCCGAGCCCCACCCGCCCATCCCACTCACCCCAACCCCGCCGCTGGGTCTTGTGCTGTGGGGGTGGGGTGCCTGGTGGGTTTTCTGATGGGTTTCTTTGGGGTCTGTGCACCACCACTGCCCCCGCCCCCAACTAGAACAAGCCAGATCTGGGTTAGTTATAAATAGCCAGGCCTGCAACTCTCCTTTTAGCTGAAAAGCAGCTAAGTGAGCAAGCAGAGAGGCGCACCCGGCACGCGTTTTATTTTTAAATCTCCCCCGTTTCCAAGTGAGCCGGGTCCCAGTGCTCAGCATTTCAAGGACCAGAAATGCTGGGAAGGAAAGCCCCGGGCAGCTGAAGCCCTTGCCTCTCCGTCCTGCTGTGTGTCCCGGGCACTCAGGCTGCCCCTCCGGGCTTCGGCTTCCTCCCCAGTGGTGTGGGGCCGGGGAGGGAGGGGGCAGTCGAAATGATCACCTCCAGCTAGCTTCCTGCCATGACTCCCGCCACTCGCCCACCCCCAGCCTGTGGCCGCCCTGGTGTGTCCACAGCAGCACCTTCCCCCGGGCTGGCCCGGGTGCACTGAGACCCCATCCAGCCCTGATGGATGGTGCAGCCCCCAGGCAGGAATCGTACCCCTCCGTCAGCCAGCACCGTCCTTCTCCGAGGGTCAAGCTGTCACCTGCACACTGTGGGCTGGGGAGCGGCCGTCCAGGCTGTGCTGAGCGGGACTGGGGGCCGGAGAGCAGGGCTGAGGGGGAGAGAGCGCTCAGACCCCCAGGAGAGGTGGGAGGGGACCACCGAGAGCTGGTCCCGCAGGGCAGGAACTGTGCGGCTTTTGTCTGGATGCCCCCCTCACCCCTCACCCGCACCCACAGGCCCCGGCCTGCGGCTGGAACCCCGTAGGCTGAGACCCTTGCTGCGCCAGGCCCGGTGTCTGGGCACAGGGGGTGCTAGCCCCGTACACTGGCCCCTCCCACCCCCTCCTCAGACACGCTGCCGGCTGCCAGGTGGGCCTGTGCAGTAGGGCGAGCGGCTTGTCTGAGCTCACACAGCCGGATACAGTCAGGAGTCCACCCGAGCCGCCTTCTGCCTTTAACCTCTGTGTATCACAGCACGGGACTTCCCTGGCGGTGCGGTGGTTAAGCATCTGCTTTGCACTGCAGGGGACGTGGGTTCACGCCATACTCAGGGAACTAAGACCCCACGTGCCTCGGGGCGGGGCCTGAGCCCGTGAGCCACAACGCAGACCTAGCAGAGCCAAGAGTAAATATTAAAAGAAAAGACGCACAACTTAAAAAACCCAGCACTCTTGAGGCAACAGGAAACCGCTTCTCCTGTGTTGTGAGTGCCCTGAGAATAAACGGTGCTAGTGGCTCCATCTGACGCCCCAGGAACAAGCCAGCTGGGGGCAACTGGGAGCCCCTGGACACGCTGCCCTGCCTCTCCGCAGGCACCTGCCCCCTGATGCTCTTGAGGACCGAGGGTGGAAGGCTGGGCGATGTCTTCAAAGAGGAAATCCCTGGGTGCTAATTGGCACTCAGAGACCTGTAGGCTAATTAACCTGTTTATTTGTCTCTCTGGAGTAAATTAGAGGGTTGAGCCGGGAGGCGGGAGACAGAGGTGTCCGCTGGTGGCGGCTCCGGCGGGGGACTGTGGACGGCTTCACGGCGGGCGGCCCGGGCTGCTGGGGAGGCCACGGAGCGGCTGGGCTGCCGGGCACCCTCCTTGGGGGCCCACTCCCTGCCCTGTGCGGGCTGCGCTGCCAGCAGTTCTGAGCACTCACGAGCACCCTCGGGGTGCTGCCTGGCTGTCTCTGGGGTCTCCTCTGGGCAGCCAGCTGTGTGCTGACTCCCGGGGCGGTGGGGAGCGGCTGGCAGGAGTGAGGCAGAAGCTTTCGCCGGGGTCAGGGAGGCGGCTCCAGGCGGCCCCCTCCCTGCTGGGCACTGGGCCCCTTTAGACCCCTCGGCCGGAGTCTGTGGACTGCCCACCAGCTGCGGTTGGGGGTCACAGCCCTTTTCATGTGAGACACTGCGCTGTTCACTCTAAACCTGCCTGTAACCCCCTGGCCAGCTTTCTCTCCCACCCCCGGGGCTGGCCAGGGGTCACAGAGACGTCGCGTTGCGGGTGGAAGGAGGGATGGATGCCCCCCACCCCTCACCCCCATCCCAGGCTTCCCTCCGGTGCGTGGTGGTTGGGGGAGGGGGAAGGCCCCCTGTGTGCCTGGGTCCCGCAGGGGCGGCTGCTCCTTCTCGGGCCACTGTTCCAGGCGGGTGCCCCCCAATCCCAGCTGGCCAAAGGCTGGACCTTTGGGGGCCCACTGTGACCTCACGGTTCCCACCCCAGCTTGTCAGCCGCAGCTTCAGGCCCCTGCTTGGCAGCGGGGGTGGGTGGTTTGTCATTCATCTGGTCAAACACTGCAGCCCCCCTCCAGTCCTCCGGCTCCCAGCACGTGTGACAGGTGGGGGGTGGCCACGGGCCCGCGCTCAGGGCCTGCTCCCGCCCGCAGGGGCCCTGGGCATCGTCAGCAGCGGCCTGATCCCCTCGCTGGTGTGGAAGCTGCAGCGCGAGGAGGAAGAAATCCAGGCGCTTCTGCTGGACACGCTGGCCGCCTGCCTCACGGAGGACGCCACCGAGGCGCTGGCCAGCCGCGCGGTGCCCTTCCTGAAGGAGAAGCTCCTGAGCGCCAACAGCAGCATCCGCAGTAAAGCCGCCCGCACGCTCATCGCCATCAGGTGGGGCCCCGGCTGGCCGCCGCCGCTCCCGCCCGGGCCCTGGGGGAGTGGGGCTCCTCCAGCAGGGCGGCCCCCAGTCCCGCCCCCTCCCGTGAGGAAGGGAGGCCCAGGAGCCGCCGTCTGCGCAGTCAGGACAGGGAGCCGGGGCGACGAGGCACTCGTGACCTGGGGTCGCCGTGCTCAGAGTCTGTGTCCGGCCCAGCGTCCCCCTGGAGGGCAAGATCCAGGTGTGGCAGCATGACGTCATCCCCATCCTGGTGCATCTGCTGAAGGACGAGGAGGAGGAGGTGCAGGCCCACGCGGCGGGGGCGCTCGTGAACGCCACGGTGACCACCGAAGGTGAGGCCCCGGGCGGGGTCTGCCGCCTGCTGGGGGTCGCTGCGGCCCCGACTGGCCGGGCGGTCCCGGGCTCCGCCCTCTTCTTCCGGGCCCCTCCCTGTCATCCTCTTGGTTCCCTGGTCTTGGAATTCCTGCCTCTGACCCAGGCCTTTGTGAACCAAAGTTCTGGGACGGACTCGCTTGCCACACCCGGGAGCCAGTCCTCCTGAGGTCCCGGTGGACGATGGAACCCAGCGCCACTGGCCTCAGTGTGGTGGGGCGGGCAGCAGCGGGCAGCAAAGAGGAACTGAGCTTACCCCTCACCCCGACTCCCACACTCAAGTCAGCACTCTGGGCGTTCGGAGGGGCCCGGACCGGCTCCCCGCCTGGAGGCCGGGTCCCTGCAGCACCTTCTGCCGCCTGCACCAGCCAGGTCCCCCGAGTTTCCTTGCTGTCCCCCCCGGCTGCCTGGGCCTCTGATCCTCAGTCAGCAGCAGACCCCCCAGCGCTGGGAGTCCCGCAGATACCCATTTGCCCTGAGGAGCACCCCGCAGCCCCCCGGCCCCCCCCACCCCCGCCTGCTGTGGGCCACGCGCAGTGTTTCCGCCCAGGCATTCTGGGCAAGCACCTGGAGGACTGGGGGCTCTCAGGGGACCCCAGCAACGTGGAAGTTTGGGGATGTGAGGCCACTTCCCCTGAGCTGGCGTTCCCGCAAGGGGCCCTGAGCCCCCGCAGCAGGCCAGGCCCCGGGGGGGGGGCGGGCAGGGGGCAGTGGAGACACGGATGCCGCGGCCTCTGAGGTCTGCCTCTTGGGGACCTGGAGGCAGGAGGCACAGCAGAGGGGCGGGGTGTCCTGGGGGCAGCGAGTGTGGGGTGGACCCATAGGATGACGGGGCCCGCCTGGGCCAAGGGGGCTGGCCAGTCTGATAGCAGCGGGAAGTGATTGACGCACGAGGGTGGGGGCAAGCGTGGCATTTCGGCGGGCAGGGCCCAGGGGGCAGCGAGTGGAGTTTGATTTTCAAAAGACCCTTCATGCTGCCTGGTGAGGCCTGGCTGCCACACCTGGTGGTTGGGGAGAAGCCAGCTGGGGAGCTCACGGGGCCCAGGCCGCGGGCGGGGATGGCCGGGGGCCTGGGAGGCGGGCAGGGCTCCCCCCCACCCCAGGAACACCTGGCGTTGGTGGCCGGCAGGGAAGTATGCGGCGCTGGACGTGGAGGCCACCGGCCCGCTGCTGCAGCTGCTGGGCGCATCTCTGAGCAAGGCGCGCCTGAACGCCAGCAAGGCCCTCACCATGCTGGCTGAGGCGCCCGAGGGCCGCAAGCTCCTGCAGTCACACGTGGCCACCTTCCGGGTGCTGGAGGAGGACTTCAGCCCGGCCGTGCAGCGGGCCGCCCAGATCGCCCTCAAAGTCATCGAGTGGAAGCCCTGAGTCTCCTACCGGCACCCCCTGGCCCCGCGACTCCACGCCCCAATAAACGCACCAACTCTCTTTATCTTGGTCCAAATGGGGGCACCTGATGGCCCTGGTGCGGGTCACGTGTCTCCTCTCTCTTGCCAAAGGGGAAGCGCCCAGCTTGGGAGGACTGGGTCACAGGCCGACCGCGGGGCCTGGGGACGGGGGGAGGCCCCCTGCACGGGGCTGCAGTCAAGGCCCCTGGGAGGGCAGAGAGCAGGGACGAGGCAGAGGAGGCGGCCGGACGCTCCGGTGAACTGGCCCTGGGGGCGCGGCCCTGCTCCCCGGGTCGGCCAGCTTCCCACGTGGGGTGGCAGGAAGGAGGGTCATGGGTGCCCCCCCTGTGGGCTCTTGCTGGGGGAGGGTGCGTTGTAAGAAGGCCCCCCACCTGCACCCCAGGGATGAGTGCTCAGCAAAGGGTAGCCTCTTCAGGTCTCCTCCTCCAACAGCTGAGCTCCCCGAAGCCAAGTCCCCTGATTGAGCCTGGGCCGGCCTCTCCCGGCCCTCCCGCTGCTGTCGGCAGGCTGGAGCATCTGCAGGGATGGGAGGTGACATCGTGGGGAGGAGAAGCAGACTGCTGGGATGGGCTTGGGTGGGGGGCGGAGAGAGCCGGTGGTCTGGCTCCGTTTCAGGGCTGGACTCGTTTGCCTGGGCTGAGCCGGGGCCTTGCTCTCCAGGACCCACACCAGCTTTTTTTCCCTCGTTCCATCCGCAGACAGAAGCCGTGCTTCCTGTGGGAAAGAACCTCCCACAGAACTAGCATCCCCGGGGAGTGAGTGCCTTCCGCGAGTCCTTCCGGGGACTGGGGCCTTCGCTTACCTAGAAGGGACGCCGGGACATCTGCCCCCCTGGGGCTCCCAGGGATGAGCCCCAAGCAGGCCCTCTTGGTCCGGGAGGGGCCGGCTGCCAGGCCCAGGGGTGTTTTCAGGTTAGGTCTCATGCTCAGGAAAGGTCCCGTAAGAGGGACACTCTCCTCCTTTAGGGAAAGAGGTGCTTGAGGGGCCCCACGTCGGCCTGCCCCCGTCACCCCTCCGCCACCTTGCACCAGCTCCAGCTCACCACCTCCCCGGGGGGGGGGAGCCAGCCGCCCTGCTCCGTGCACGGGCCCTCCCTGCCTGTGGCCGCCGTCCTGGCCCTCCGCCCAGGGCCCCGGCTGTGCCCCCCGGTCTCCTCTGTAGAAGGACCCCCTTTCCCAACCTGACCGCTCTGTCCCGCTCTCCCGCACCGTCTCGCCTGCCTGGCGGGCATCCTCTACCAGGCTCCCTTCTCAGCTAGGGCGGCCCACTGTCTTCTCTCCCTGCAGTCTGAGTCGCTAGCGCCAGCCTCTCTCCCGGGTTCCGGACCCCTCTAAGCAACTTAATACCAACCCTTAAATGTCTCCAGGCAAGAATTAATGCCAACCCTTCACCAACTGCTTTAAAAAAAGAGAAGAGGCGGGGACACTTCCCAACTCATTCCATGAGGCTAATATCACCCCCATCCCCAAACCAGGCAAAGACCTCATGAGGAAAGAAAACTATAGACCAATATCCTCTACGCATATAGATCCAAGAACTCAACCAAATATTAGCGAATCAAATCCAGCCACATGAAAAAAGCCTTGTATACCACGACCAATGGGCATTTCTCCCAGTGATGCAAGACGGGTTCAACGCGTGACGACAAACCCACGTTAACGACAAAGAGAATAAAGAATAGAAATCACACAGTCACCTTCACAAGTGCAGGAAAAAGCATTTGACAGAATCCAACACCCATTTCATTAAAAAGGAAAAAACCTTAAAATTAAAACTAAATCAAAAACTCTCAGTAAAAACGTCTCTGGTGCCCCAGGGGTCAAGAACCCGCCTGCCAGTGCAGGGGACACGGGTCCCAGCCCCAGGCTTGGGACAGCCTCCTGCCGCAGGGCAACTGAAGAGCCTGCGTTCTGAGAGCCCGCGCCCTCCTGCCGCAGGTTCTGAAGCCCGCGTTCCAAGAGCCCGAGCTCTGCACAGGGGGAGCCTCCCCAATGAGAAGCCCACGCAGAGCGCCTCGAGCGTGGCCCCCACTCACTGCAGCTAGAGAGAGCCCGAGCACAGCCGTGAGGGCCCGGCACAGCCAAAAACAAAAGAAACACGTAAATAAAGCTTTAAAAACCCGGCAACATAGGGACAAAGTGGAATTTCCTCAACATGATAACACCTGCAAGAACTCACTGCTAACATCATGCTCGACCGTGAGACGCTCGATGCTTTTCCTCCAAGATCAAGGGCAAGACAAGGGTGTCCACTCTCACTACTTCAAACTTGACACTGTACCGGAGGTTCTAGCTGGGGCAGTTTAGGCAAGAGAATGAAATAAAAGGCATCCGGGTTGGAAAGAAGTTGTACTTGCAGATTACATGATTTTATATGTGAAACAATTCCAAGGAATACACTTTAAAAATATAAGAATAAACAAGTTCCACAAAGTTACAGGTTCCAAGATCAAGAAACAATTTTTGTTTTTCTTTACCTGAGCAATGACCCATCTGAAAATGCAATTAAAGGGTAGGGGACTAACAGAAACTATTGTGTATAAAATAAATAAGCTACAAGAACATACTGTACAACACAGGAAGTAAAACCAACCTTTTAATAATAACTATAAATGCAGGGTGATCTTTAAAAATTTTGAATCACTAGGTTGCACACCTGTAACTTTCATAATATTGTGCGTCAACTATATCTCAACTTTTAAAAAAAGCCTCACTTACAGTACCATCAGAAAGAATAAAATACCCAGGAATCAACTTAGACATGTAAAACTTTGAGTGCTGAAGACAAAACACTGCTGGAAGAAATGAAAGAGGACCTAAATGAACATCCCATGTTCATCAATCAGAGAGACCAAACGTGGTCGAGATGGCAAAGAGAGTCTTCAAGCCACTCGAAGTCCACGTGTCCCAAACGGTGCTCCGCCTGCGCCCCGCCCCTGCCCCCTCCCGCGCGGCCCGGCTTTGGAACTGGGGCGCCCTCTGCCCATGCGCTCAAGCTGGAGAGCCACTTCTGGGCCCTCCCTCCAGAAGCCCAGCGGCCCGAGTCCTGGGACCTCTGCTTGCTGGCTTCTCCTGGTGCTCACCGGGTCCCTTGTCTTTTCTTCCCCGCTGCTAACTTCCCTGGATTCCTCTAACAGCCTCCTGGCGGGTTTCCTCACCTCCCGTTCACCCTCCCCGCAGCAGTCAGCAGACCTGGCCCTATTCCTTCATGGCTGAAGCGCCCAGCGACCCAGGATCCCAGACACCTGAGGCCTGCGGGCCGGGCCCCTCCCAGCTCTGCGCCCAGGCCTGCTCACACCCTTGCCTCGCCCTGTCCTCCCGCTGGCTCGCGGACCTCCTGCTTCCGTCAAGGGAGGCCTCTTCCTGGGGCGCTCCCGCCGCTGTGAGTGTGTGCAGAGGGCCCCGGGTACTGGGCTTCCTGGCAGCTCAGTCTCCTCCTCCGTGAAGTGTGGCTGATCCTGGTCCTGCCGCCTGGGGCGGTTCCTTGGCCTGAAGGCAATGGTGACCCCGGGCAGGGAACCACAGGCCACCACCGCTGCTGCAGTCTGCTTCCTGAGACCGTGAGTTCCATCCACGACGGTTTTCCAGCAGTCCTGGCACACCGCAGGCACTCAGACATGTCAGCTGAAGGCCTCAACGGGGGGAAGACGGGCTGGTTCTGACCGCACCTTCAGAGGGCGATTTTTGCAATGCTGGTGGGCCTCCCCCAAACCCCTTTGACGTATCTGAGACTTTTTCTAAAGACTCGAATCATTTATTCTGGTCTGAGAGGAAGAAAGAGGAAGGGATGGCTGAGGGCGCCCCTGCAGAGACGCAGCCCAAGAGCAGCCTCTACCTGACTGCTAAGGGGGTCAGCCCAGGGCTCGGCTCCCAGTAGCAGGCGGCCTGGGAGGGACGTTTCCTCTCCGTCTGTCCCCGAGGGGCGCAGCCAGACAGAAGGTGCAGGGAGGCCCGGTCCTCGGGCAGGGACCAGCCCAGCCCACCACCATCCAGGCAGGTGCCAGCGTCTCTGTCCATGGAAGCCCTGGCGCCTGCTGGCCTGTGTGACCTTCGGCAGTGGGCTCAGCCCCTGTGGGTGGGCATCTTTGCCAGCAGCCGTACCTTTCCAGAGGAGGTGGGCACAGGAAGGAAACGGTGACAGCAAACACAGGCAAGGCTCCCAAAGATATCAAGAGACAAAAAGCCAGAGTTAACGTGAAAGCCAGCATCTGCGCGTTGGAGCCATCGTAGGGAGCGGCTCAGCGAGCGGAGGACGGGCGTGCTCGCCCGCGATCCCTGCCCTCGCCGCCTGCCGGCCGCAGCCCTGTGGCTCAGGGCCTGTGCTCAGCGGCGTGACCCGGGACGGGCTCCCTCCCCGCCGCGTGGCCGCTAGTAGAAGTAGACGTGGAAGAGCACCATGAGTGACAGCAGCAGGATCCCGCAGAGGCCGAGCACTGTGTTCCAGAAGGGCTGCTTCTGCGGCGCCTCTCTCTCCTCTGTCCCCTCCGGCATGTCATTCTGCTCGGTCTCAGGCACGACCACCTCTTCCGGGGCCAGCTTGGGGCTGGGCAGCAACTCCAGGCCACAGAACACATCCCAGGCCTTCCAGAGGCAGCCCTTGGCCTCTATGAGCACGTCTGGAACCGAGGGGACAGGCACGGTCAGCAGGCCGGCACACAGGAGGGGTCTTCCTAGGGTCTTGCGTCTTGTGGGGAGCCCGGAAGGGAGCCCAGGGGACTGGCTCCCGACGCGGACAGCAAGCCTCAGCCCTGGCTGTGGAGTGCCTCCCACCAGCCTCGGGGGCACAGAGAGCGGGGCTGGGGGGCCACGCTCACCTAGCATCAGCAGAGACTTCAGCCAGCCCAGAGCCTGGCTGGCATGGGGCAGGCCTCCCCTGCGGACCCACACCGAGCCCAGCTCTGCAGGTCCGGGGCAAGAGGCTGCTCTGCGGAGAACAGAAGAGCCCGTTGCCCTGCTCTCTCTGCTCGGTAGCCCTGGGAGCATGTTCTCCAGGCACCAGCAGCCTCATGGCCTGACCCAAGGGCCTTCTGGGTCCTTGGAAGGGGAACTGGTGTTTTCTCCAGGAGCGGGGGAGGCCCAAGAATTATAGGCAAATTTCCATCCATATCTCTGGGCAAATCAGTGAAACGCCTCCCTCTGGGGCTTAGCCATCCCTCCGGCGTCTGGCCGCTGCGGGCCGCTCAGGCTCAGGTCAGCACCAGGGCCAGCTCCGCACACACGCGGATGGGGAATGGCGCCCTCCCTGATGACAACAAGCACGTCTCGGTCCAGCACTGTGCGCGGTGACCTGTTCTGGGTCTTATTCCCTTGGGCAGCAGCAGCACCAGATGTGTCCCGAGGCTGAGGCAGCACCAGGGATCGTGGAACTCACCAGCCGGTGCTGCAGGGGTCTGTGTCGTGAGGGAGGGCTGCTGCCGGGGACCCCAGAGACAAACGGCTGCCGCGGCAGTGGGAAGCCCAACCTCTCAGGTGCCGCCGTCACCGCCTGGCCCAAAGGGGCTGACCCATCATGTGACCACAACCCAAGGGCTGTATGAAGGGGGGCAGGACAGGCCAGTGGCCAAGAGCGTGTGCTCTGGAGTCAGTCTGCCTGTGCCCGCCCTCCCCAGCCCCACCACTGCTGGGCTGTGTATGGAGCTGGGGCAGACACTTCCTGGGTGGGCCTCCATCTCCCCATCTCTGAACTGGGGGTAATAGTGGCCCCTGTCACACACAGCACCCGGCACATCCCATGTGCGCAGCAAGTGCGCACCACCATCATCACAGGAGCTGGGAGGGGCCCCAAGGACACGCTCTGCACACGTGGCCCTGATGGGCAGTTTCCCCCGTCCCCCAGGGAGAGTACCCCTAGAGCCTGGCACCTCCAGAGACCCGGGGCAGCCTGGCTGTAGGTGTCAGGAGACGGTCCCCGGCAGGACTGTAGGCGGGGCCCCAGGAGGATGTCCCGCAGACATGCCTGCCACAGCGCCCCCTCTGCCCCCACCCCCCACCCTGGGCCCTTGCTGCAGACTCAGCACTAATCCCGTTAGGCTTTATTCCACTTGCGTCAGTGCTTCAGGAGGTGCAGGCACCCTCCCCGTGGCCCCACACACCTCTCTGACCCCACTGCTGAGCGCTTTCCCCTGGGCCTCCTGGCGACCCCGACCCAAGCCTCTCCTGGACACTCTTCCTGCTGGGACTGAAACTCAGATGTCCACAGCGGTGTCCCTGGATCCCTCGCGGATCCCAGGAGCCTCTGGCTTGAACCGCTGTGAGAGGTGCCATGACCCGCTGTCCCTCCCCCTCTCCCCCATCCTGAGACACACGGTAATCCGTGCGGCTCCGTGCATCCCTCCTGCCCCACCGCAGACACCTCTAGATCGCCAGACACTTCTGTTTCTCCACCCCTCACTTTATACCAGACCCTCCCCTCCTCCCCCTGCACCTGCTGACGCCTCCCACCTCCATATTCTGGGCCCAGAACCCCAGAGAGGTCTCAGAGGCATCACGGGGCACTTCTGGGAGGGGGCGGGAGCAGGCTCCTCCTGCCGCTGGCTTCGGCTTCCTTCTCACCTGGCTGTGCCTGGGGCTCAGGGATCTTCACCTCTGCGTCCTCGTCCAGGTCCACCCTTTCCTCCTGGCTGTTCCGTAAACTCCAACAGAGGCGGTGGAGCTGGGGGGGGGGGGGAGAAGGGGCCTGTCACCACCAGGGCCCTATCGTCAGGGCATATGGTGTCACCGCTGGGCACCAGGGTCTCCAGGGACTGAAGAGAGGTGTGGTCATTAGTTCCAACAAGGGAGGAAGGAAGGGGTGGGGTGGGGAAAGTGTGGTGCTCGGGAACTCCGGGTTTCAGTTCTGGCCTCTCAGAGGGCGAGCTCAGTGTCCTGGGCTGGACACTGGGGCTACGAGGCACACGTTCAGTGCGCCTTCTGGTGACTGAGGCCCAGGAAGCTGTGCCCCCCAGGCTGGGAGAAGCGGCCCCTCACCCCTGGTCTGCTGCTCCTGGGTCACCCACAGGACGGACCCAGCGGCTGATTTCCTGCCGGAAGAACCTCCTGGCTGTCAGAGACAAGCGCTCACACGCAGCCCAGGGGAGGCTTGACCTGCCTCATCTTGGGTACCCCATGGGCTGGCCCCAGCAGGACTCAGCTGCTCACAGTCAGCAGGTGTCTGCGGGCGCAGAAAGGCAGGACCCCCCTCTTCCGGTCTGTGACTCTGTTATCTTCCTGAAAACACACGTGGAAACTTTGGGAAGTAACAAAATCCAGGCTTTTTTTTTTTTAAGGGTTGGGGTCAGTACTAAGTGAACATGTCCATCAAGTCTGTCCTGAAATAGGGTGTTATCTATCATACTGGCCTCGGCACATCCGAGTCTCGGCGCCACCAGCACCCCCTCACCCAGTCACAGCAGGGACGGGGCTGAAGCAGCCTGCCGTCTTGGCCTGAGGCAGGACTCAGAGGCGCCTGTCGTTCGCCCCGAGTGGCTTCCTGACGGCGCTGTCCATCCGCATCTGCCTTCTCAACCACGCGCTGAGCGCTGTGGCCCAGGCCGTGGGGCAGAGAGAGCCTGGGCACGAGTGCATCCCACCTCTCCCAGGAGCACCCACACAGACGCTGGCCCGGAAGCACGGCTCCCCCTTCCACTCCCCGCCGTCCCGAGCGCCTGCACTGCTAGGCCGGACAGCACTCAGGTGTGCGGCTGCCCAAGCAACAGGCCAGGCCAAACAGGCGCGGATACGAGGGCAGCAGCGAAGAGTCAGACAAGCTGCCGTCAAGACCCTGTGCGACCGGCCAGAGCGCGGGCCAGCACCTGAGCTTCTCCACGTGCCGGGAGCAAGGCAGGGGCACGGTGGGGGGCGGGTGGGGGGCAAGCTGTCCTGGGCTTGCGGGCCATCCTCTCCACCTGCTCCGCCCCAGTCCCTGGGGCCCTGGGCACGAGAGAGGAACAGAGCAAGCAGAACTGCCGTGCCACGCAGAGTCGGCCAGAGCAGAGGCATCTTCCCTGTCCCCGGTTCTCATCCAGGCCCCCCTCCCTTCGAGCGCCTCCTTCCCCTCTCTCATCCTGGACACCCAGGACCCTCCCTGCTGCCTTCCAACTCCGCCAAGCCCCTGGGGAGTCCTGCCAGGCCCACTGGCCATGCCCATGCAGGTGACACACGGCAGTCTACTCAGGCCCAGTAGGGCCGCTGGCTAGTTTTGGAGTCATGGACAAGTGACCACACTCCTCTGAGCCCAGGAGTTTTATATTCCAACTAGAGTGGCAGATACCTCCTCCTGGGCAGGGCAAGTGGCCGGACAAGGAGAATGGGGCATGCAGGCCGCTGGCCATAGCTCTGTGGGCATTACTTCCCCCCCCCAACCTGTACCCCCGCTCGCCAGGCAGGCAGCAGCTGGGATGACCCTGATTATATTAACTCACACTGGAGTGAGCGACCTCAGCGCTTCACAGAAAATTTGTATTTTAAAAGGCAAACATCTCACTCTTGGTGAATACTTCATTGGAGGATTGTCGGAAAGCCTTTTAGGTCAGCTCTGCATTTAAGGCAAGGAGTTACTTGCCTATTTCTGGCCCGTCCATCACCCCGACCCCCAGCCCTCCCGCTGCTAAAAACCAGGCAGGACCTTCAGCCGCTTCTCTCCCAAGCTGCTCCCAGGACGCGGGGGCTGCAGGCTGACCCCGGAGCTCGCCCGTAGCGGCACTCACGTGTTTGTCTGGAATCGGCACGGTGAACATGGAGATGCCCAGGACGGTGACGAGACTGATGGCGAAGAGGATCATGGCGAAGTAGAGGTAGTGCACGCCGCAGATGATCCGGGGGCACTTCCTGTTCACGGAGCAGGTCCAGGGCCCGTAGGCAAACTCGGACACCATGCGGCAGGAGCCGATCACAAGGCCGCTGGCCAGCCCCCAGAAGGCACCCTGACAGAGGGGGAGCCCGAGTCACCGGAAGCACGGCGGCGCCAAGACGAGTCGTCCGGCTCTGAAGCTAAACCGGCACAAGGGCTTCACGCACCCCGCAGAGCCGGCGCAGCACCGGGGACAGCACCTCCCAGGGCTAAACAAAGACCCGAGAGGCGCCCACACTCTATCAAGTCTGTTGGAGAACTCAGGGAATACTGCGAATACTGGAGACACTTCTAAGTCAGACGATGAAGACGTAGCTCAGACACAGTGTCCAAGAAGACCTCAGTCCTCCGTGCTGCGGTAGGGGCGTCTCCATCTCCCCAGCTACTCAGGCACAGACCCCACGAGACGTCCCTGGCTCCTTCTCCTCCCAGCCTGCCCTGCCACCGATCCATCAGCAAGTGATGCTGTCGTTCCCATGGAGACCACCTCCGCCGCGATCCTCCGCCGTCTCTCACACGGGGGGACTCCCTTCCTGGTCTCTGCTTGCCCGCAGTCCGAGGAGCCCAAGTGAGCTCTTCGAAGCGTGGGTGAGGGAGTGCCCTGCCGCTGCCAAAGCCCTTGTGGCTTCTCCTGGCCGCCCTGAGGAGCAAGGCGCACCTGCTCAGCTGACCTCATGGGCTCCGCCCCCCGACAGCGCACTACGGCCACCACGCCCGCCCTCTGCCTGCTGCCGGGCCTTCGCACATGCGCTTCTTCCTGCTTCGGTCTCTCCCCAGATCTCGGTGGTTCTGGCTCACCCTTCAGGACTCAGGTTCTGCGTCACTTTCTTAGGAGAAATCTTCTCCCACTAGCGTGGCTAACGTCCTGGTGCCCCACGCCCTGTGCCAGCATCTGCCCTACTCACCTCCATGATACTCCTTTACTTTCCCCCTTCTTTACTTTTAAGCAGCGCTACTCCGCTCTCAGAAATCTTATCTGCTCACTGGGCATCATTTGTCTACTCCTCCTTACCCTTGGGCTTGGAGCCAGTCTCAGGGACGGCTGGATGTCGGGGGAGGCAGAGGATTCAGTGTGTGGGAAGAGTCTTGGAGAAAGAACTGAAGCCAAAGGCCAGGTGGGTGGTTGGTCCACAGGACCCATTTATTGAAGGAGACATGCGGAAAAGGGAAGATCGGGGAACAGATGAGGGTGAGAGACAGGGCCTGGAGAAGTTCTCCAGGCCAAGGAAGGGGCCCATAATATGCTGTAGCCTTGCACCAAGGTAGCCGGAGAGCCACTGACAAGCTCCCCAGGCCCCCTCGGCGCCAGGCCCCAACACCCCGCGTGACTCAGAGGCGCGAGGCAGATTGTCCTGGCCCCCTGTTCCTCTTGCCCACTCCCCTCCCAAGCAACCACAGGGAGGAGCCTTTCCAGAACCCTGTTCTCGGTGCTAAACTGAGTCCTGGTGAGCCGAGCCATGGTTTGGTGGTAAAGAATCCACCTGCCAAGGCATGAAACTCAGGTCTCATGTGGGTTTAATCCTTGGGTCGGGAAGATCTCCTGGAGTAGGAAATGGCAACCCACTGCAGTATTCTTGTCTGGAAGATCCCATGGACAGAGGAGCCTGGTGGGCTACAGTCCACGGGGGTCACCAAGAATCAGACACAGCTGAGTGGCTGAGCATGCACCCACGAGACGAGCAGAGCAGGAAGCCTGGAGGCCTGAACGCCCGGCGTGAGCCTGCAGGGAGCAGCGGCCAGATGCGGGTGGACAGACACTCGTGGCGAAGCAGAGAGTCCCCGGGGAAGGAGAGGGGCCACGAAGGGCAGAACAGGCAGGCGGCACCGCACGCGACCAGCAGTGGCCGGGCCCGGGGGCTGCACACGGAGAGGCCAGGGCTGGTGGGCAGGCAGGAGCCAGGTCTCAGAGGCGCTGTGCTCAAGGCAGGAGAAACAAGTCAGGATGTGACTCAGCTAACAAGTGAAAATGTTCTGGCAAACCGTGCTTCCAGTCTTACGGGTGAAATGACTGAACCATTAGTTGGGATCTTTATTTGGTTCCACATGTGATGGAAGAGACGGTCTTGGCGCAGGGAAGGTGGTAGGAGCCCGGGGCTGAACATCCCCCGAGCGTCTGACACCTCTGAGCAGGAAAGCCTCCTCACGCAGAGGTAACGGCGGAGGGCCCTCCTGTGGCTAGACAAGCGTGCCGGAGGGTCCCACGTGCTCTGCCCCGTGCGTGGCACGGCTGAAGGCGGATGGCCTTGGAAGCGCACAGAACAGATCGGAGCCTGCCTTCCGCCAGCCCAGCCCCGTGTGTGAGCCACCTACCTGCTCAGTGACTCTCTTGCAGAATATGGCCAGCAGGAACATGGCAGCCACGGGTGGCGTCAGGTAGCTCAGAACCGTGTGCATGTATTCAAAGAGCAGCTCCCTGTGGGCCACTTGCAGGGCAGGGACCCAGGCAATGGAGACAGCAAGTAAGACGATGACAAAAAACCTGTAAGGTGAATCGCAAGTCAACGGCAATTTCATGAGTGTTTGCTGTTGCTGCTGTTTAACTTGCCAATAAAATATCTGCCAACCATAAACTCCAAGCTAGTTCTAATTACTCCTTAGGTTAAATTCGGATGCCCGTTCCTTAAGTGTGGCAGAGGAGACAGCCATACCCCTAAACACGAACAGGACCCGAGGGTTCTTAAAACCCCTTCAACTTCTGGACTGGATCGTTGGTAGATTTTCATCACATTTGGAGGGTGTGTCTAGAGGTGGTCATGCTTAAAATATACAATACATGGAAAATGCCAATTTCTTGAGGGATAACACATTTCTAAAAATTTCAAACGGAACAATAATGCACATGATTTTAAAGATTGGTACAGGTGTCCCTTAAGCCCTTGGTTGCTCATGCGGGGCAAAACTACCCAATAGTCCAAAATGAGCAACTGGTGGAAGGCAGAAGAGGCTGAGCAAAGATTTCATTGCCTGCAGGGGTAACCGCGGAGGGCTCCTCATCGAGAGCCCTGAAGAGCCTGCCCTGGGAGCAGCGAGCGCGTCCCAGGGCTAAGACCTGGCCATGCAGCTACAGAAAGCTGAAGAGTCCCACTGACCAAGCACAGAAGCCAGGCCCCCTCTGCATCGACCTGGGCGGGGTGGGGAGGGAGGTGGGAGGGAGGCTCAAAAGGGAGGGGAGATACGGATAGCCACGGCTGATTCACACTGAGGTTTGACAGAAAACAACAAAATTCTGTAAGGCAGTTATCCTTCAATAAAAAATAAATTAATTAAAAAAATAGGCCTCCATAAGTTTAAGGGAATCGGCTAGGAATTTACCTGCATACTTGAACAAAAGCCAATATTCTTCAGAGGAACATGATCCAGAATTTCTACTATTACCTACAATGTTAAGTATATAATAAACCTTTCTAGGCATGGGGAGAAGTAAGAGAATGTAACCTATAGTCAAGGAAAACAGAGGTCAATAGAAATCAACCCCAAGGTGGCTCAGGTATTAAAATGAGCAGACAAGGACTTCGAAGCAACTACTATAGTTATCTTAAAGGGTTTAGAGGAAATTATAGTTGCGAGTGAACAGATGGGAAATCAAGACAGAACATGGAAGACTAGAAAAAAAATTTAAAAGGAAACAGATACTCCAGAACTAGAATTCCAGTTGAAAATATGAAATGAAAAATTCATAGGTTGGCCTTAACAGTAGATTGGAAACGGCAGAAGAAAGGGCCAATATCCTCAAGGGAGACTCAAGAAAATCAAAACTGAAAAACAGAGAAAAAATGTTTAGAAGTAAACAGTGCCTCAGTGATCTCTGGGACAGTGTCAAAAGGGCTAATGTGCACAAGCAGAAGACGGGCGCAGCGGACAAACATGCAGAGAGATGATGGCCAACCATCTCCCAGATCTGGTGAAAGCCGTTAATTTACAGATTAAGAATGTCAGCAAAACCCAACCAGCACATCCATAACAAAACTGCTGAAAACCGAAAATGAAGAGAAGATTGTGGAAGCCCAGGAAAGAAGGCGCGTTACATACACAGAGCGGTGCTATGAGTTACAGACGACTTCCGATCAGAAGGAAGAGGGACTCAGACAACGTTAACAGCAGTAAAAACAGAACTAAAAATGGACAAATGACCTGATAAACATTTTTCCAAAGAAGATATTAAAATGGCCAACAGGAATGGAAAGGTGCTCAACATCACTAATCAGGGAAAGGCAAAAAACTACAATGAGATACCATCTCATACCTGTTCGAAGGGCTGTTATCAAAAAGACAAGAGATGACAAGTGCTGGTAAGGATGTGGAGAAAAGGGAATACTCGTGGACTGCTGGTGGGAGCATAAGTTGGTGCAGCCACTATGGAAAACAGGATGGAGGTTCCTCAAGAAACTGAAAACAGAACTACAGTTCAGGTTAGTTCAATTAGTCGACTGCTCAGTCGTGTCTCTTTGTGACCCCATGGACTGCAGCAAGCCAGGCCTCCCTGTCCATCACCAACTCTCAGAGCTTACACTCATGTCCATCGAGTTGGTGATGCCATTCAACCATCTCATCCTCTGTCGTCCCTTTCTCCTCCCACCTTCAATTTTTCGCAGCATCAGGGTCTTTGTTCCAACGAGTCAGTTCTTCACATCAGGTGGACAAAATATTGGAGTTTCAGCTTCAGCATCAGTCCTTCCAATGAATATTCAGGACTGATTTCCTTTAGGAATGACCGGTTTGATCTCCTTGCAGTCCAAGAGACTCTCAAGAGTCTTCTCCAACACCACAGTTCAAAAGCATCAATTCTTCATCACTCAGCTTTCTTTCTAGTCCAACTCTCACATCCATACATGACTACTGGAAAAACCATACCCTTGACTAGACGGACCTTTGTCAGAAAACTAATGTCTCTGTTTTTTAATGTCCATCTAGGTTGGTCATAGCTTTTCTTCCAAGGAGCAAGTGTTTTTTAATTTCATGGCTGAAGTCACCATCTGCAGTGATTTTGGAGCCCAGAAAAATAAACTCTCTCACTGTTTCCACTGTTTCCCCATCTATTTGCCATGAAGTGATGGGACCGGATGCCATGATCTTAGTTTTCTGAATGTTGAGTTTTAAGTCAGCTTTTTCACTCTCTTCTTTCACTTTCATGAAGAGGCTCTTCTACACTTTCTGCCATAAGGTTGGTGTCATCTGCATATCTGAGGTGATTGATATTTCTCCTGGCAATCTTGATTCCAGCTTGTGCTTCATCCAGCCTGGCATTTCACATGATGTGCTCTGCATATAAGTTAAATAAGCAGGGTGACAATATACAGCCTTGATGTATGTACTCCTTTCCTGATCTGGAACCAGTCTGTTGTTCCATGTCCAGTTTTAACTGTTGCTTCTTGACCTTCATACAGATTTCTCAGGAGGCAGGTAAGGTGGTCTGATATTCTCATCTCTTTCAGAATTTTCGACAGTTTATTGTGACCCACACAGTCAAAGGCTTTGGCATAGTCAATAAAGCAGAAGGAGATGCTTTTCTGGAACTCTCTTGCTTTTTCGACCACCCAGCGGATATTGGCAACCTGATCTCTGGTTCCTCTGCCTTGTCTATATCCCACTTGCACATCTGAAAGTTCATGGTTCATATACTGTTGAAGCCTGGCTTGGAGAATATTGAGCATTACTTTGCTAGTGTGTGAGATGAGTGCAAATGTGAGGTAGTCTGAACATTCTTTGGCATTGCCCTTCTTTGGGACTGGATGAAAACTGACCTTTTCCAGGCATGTAGCCACTGCTGAGTTTTTTAAAATTTGCTGGCACATTGAATGCAGCACTTTAACAGCATCATCTTTTAGGATTTGAAATAGCTCAACTGGAATTTCATCGCCTCCACTAGCTTTGTTCATAGTGATGCTTCCTAAGGCCCACTTGACTTCACATTCCAGGATGTCTGGCTCTGGGTGAGAGATCAGACAATCGTAGTTATCTGGATCATTAAGATCATTTTTGTATAGTTCCTCTGAGTATTCTTGCCACCTCTTCTTAATATCCTTTGCTTCTGTTAGATCCATACCATTTCTGTCCTTTATTGTGCCCATCTTTGTATGAAATACCACATGACCGGGCAATTCCACTTCTGGGTATATATCAAAAGGAAACAAGGATCACTATCTTGAAGACATCACTGTACACTTTACACTGTTTATAATAGCAAAGTCACAGAAACAGCCTAAATGTCTATCAACAGATGAATGAATAAAGAATATGTGGTACATGTACACAGCCTATTTTTTTTTCTTTTCTTTTTTTCCCCTACACCTCAAGGCATGTGAGATCTCAGTTCCCTGGCCAGGGATTCAACCTGAGCCCCCTGCATTGGAAGCACAGAGTCTTAACCACTGGACCACCAGGGAAGTCACTCTATTATTTGCTTTCTGTTCAACTTACCTTTCACTTAATTTTTACTCTTCTGACTTCTTTTGGGCTAATCAAATGTTTTATTGGCTAGTTCACATTTTACTAACTTGTTACAAGTCCTTGAACTGTCCTTATATTGTTCAATCTAGAGGCCACACACGCACCCTTGCCATGTCTGAGTCTGGTACCAGAGAACTTGAGACTATTTATGCTCCATGCTGTGTGCTCCGCTCCCGTGTTCTGTTCCCACAGAAGTTTCTCCTTACCGATGTCAGCACTCGCTCTCTTCCATTTCCCATATACTTACCCTTTATGGCACTCTCCATCCTTCTCTGAAGGTCAATTCTTCCATCCAGGTTGTTTTCCTGCAGCCTAAGACTCCCCTTTGGTATTTCTTATCATGAAATTCCAATGTGATACACTCCCTCATCTTGTATTTATTAGAAAACATGTTTGTTTCACTTTCACTCCGGAGGCTATTTTGACGGGTATTGAATTTCAGGTGGGCAGTCTCTTCCTAGCACTTGAGAATGTCATTCCACTGTCTCCTGGCTTCCACAGTTTCTGTTGAAAATTCCACTGTCAGTCTCTTTGTCACTCTTTTGAAGGTAATGCGATTCACTTCCTTCTGGCTGCTCTAAAGGTCTTCTGTCTCCATCTCCAGCAGCGCCACTACCCTGTGGTCTGCGTATGGTCTCCTTTGCATTTATCCTGCCAGAGATTTGTGGAATTTCCTTCATCTCTGGATAGTTGTCCAGATATTTGGAACATTCTTGGTTGTTATATTTTCAAAATTGCTTCTAAAGTTACACATATATAATTCCAATGACATAATATATTCATCTGTGTTCCACCTGTATCTTCTTTTTTTTCCTGCACGCTTTATTCTGGATATTGTTGACTGATCGATTTTTAAGCCACTTACTGTGTCTTCTGCTTCAGCCAATCACTTGTTAACCCACCAAGTTGTTTTTTTTTTTAATTCATTTGTTTGGCTGCATCAGGTTTTAGCTGCAGCACTCAGGATCTCTGTTTAACTCAGGACCTTTCATAGCACATGGGCCGAGTTACCCTGAAGCATGTGGGATCTCAGTTCCCTGACCAGGGAGCAAACCTGCCTCCCCTGCATTGAGAGGGGGATTCTTAACCACTGGATGAGCAGGGAAGTCCCCACCAACAAGTTCCTAATTTCCGACATTTATTTTTCAATTCTAGACCTTCTCATTTTTACAAATTATAATTCTTTGGAAAAATTGACAATTCTTTTCACCTATTTTGTACATCTTTCCATCTATTTTCTTGTACATGTTAATCATGGTTATTTCAAAGTCTTTGCCAGCTTCACCTGTAGGTCTACTTTTGTTTGTGGGATATATTTGACTTTACACATACGCAGGATAAATGCAGCGGTGAGGGGGACCTTCTTCCCTTGTTTCTTGCTAGCTCCATTAGACATGACTTGATTTTTAGGGTGATACAGACGTATTTTACTGGGTTGAAAAGTACCTATTTTATGAAATACTTTTCCATCATCTGAATATATATTTTACTCTTTTGATCTATTAAGATGGTGAGTTATATTACCACATGTTCTAATATTGAACCACTCTTGCACTCCTGAAAAATAATCACAGTTGGCAATGAGATGTCATTCTTTTAACATTCTTTTAGTATTCTGTTGGATTTGTGTCCACTATTTTACTATTTTTGCATTGGTATTTAACAGTGAGATGAGGCTTTAGTTTTAATTTCTTCTGTGCTGTACTTGTTAGGTTTTGACATCAATATCTTGAGCTTTGTAAAATGAGTATGTCTTCTCTTTCTCCCATGTTCGATAACAATTTACATAATACTTGTATCTGTTTCTTAAAGTTTCTCACAAAAGTGCTTTTTAAAGAGTGAAATGCTAATCAAAATGTCACAGCAAACTCAATCTGCAGGGGTCACACAGGTAAGACAGTGAGCAAGAGGCGCGGAATGAAGAGAGCATTTGAGGTTCAACACAGGCCGAGTTCAGTGTGTGGGGGCTCGAGGTGGGTCACGCTATGCAAGGGTGACAAGGCCCATGTCCACACGTTCATACCCGTCTCATGCCCAGCGTTTGTGGCCTCCTGGCTGATGGTGTAGCCCTGAGATGGGTAAGTTCTGCTTACCACATGGTCAGGCAGACCAGCTCCCTTTTCTGAGCCACTACCCCTGATTTGTATAGTAAGAACAAGAACTAAAATTTACCTTTAAAGGCTGTCCTGAGGACTGAAAGAGATACTGGAATAATGAACACACACTCGTTCGTAAGTACTACTCTGGGGGTATGTTAATAAACTATGCTCATTATCACTGTGCTCACCACTGAATTTTCTCCCAAGTGGAAACAATTTCCTTTGTGATTATAAAAACAATACATCTTCATTGCAAAACTGCAACAAAAACCAAACAGCACCATACCATATGTAAAAACGGTAACTCTATACACAGTTCAGTTCAGTCGCTCAGTCCTGTCTGACTCTTTGCGACCCCATGGACTGCAGCACGCCAGGCCTCCCTGTCTATCACCAACTCCCAGAGTTTACTCAAACTCATGTCCACCGAGTTGGTGATGCCATCCATCCATCTCATCCTCCGTCGTCCCCTACTCCTCCCACCTTCAATCTTTCCCAGAATCAGGGCCTTTTCTATTGAGTCAGTTCTGAGAGCCTAAATGTGCCACGTAATGACTTATTGGGGGCATCATTTCACTGACAGCAGAAACTCGTGAGATGAGAGGAATACTTCACCTTCCTGTTATCATGAGTTCCTTTTTAGTGGCTGTTGGCCGGATACGGGGGTAGATGTCCATGGTGAACACGGCGCTGGCACTACTGTAAACGGCAGTCAGCGAGGACATGAGAGAGGCCCAGAGGGCAGACACCACCAAGCCTCGAACGCCTGCAAGAGAGGAACACTTCCTGGGCCTCCAGCACCCCCGGCCGCTCAGGAGGTGCCCAAGGCCTGCTGAGGAGCACTCCCACGCGCTGAATTTTGCTCAGGGTGGCAGTCCATCAAAGATGGACCAGTGCGTGACGCCTGTCCGTGCTCTGTGACGAGCCTCGCAGTCTCCTGTTGAGTCCCTGTATAATAGCCAGGGTGGCCACTTCGGACATTGGCCTGACGACCCCCCTGCAGCCCTGTGGCAAGAAAACCACTGCTGTCCCCCCTTTAACAGATGAGACCCAGAGGACCAGACCATTAAGCAAGTGACGCAGATCCTGGGCCTCACCGCTCCCATCTGCAAGGTGGGTTAAAAGTACCTCCACACAGGGCTGTTGTGAAGGTGAAGACAATGCCCGGCACTGGGCAAGTACTCAACAAACGCTAGCTAGCAACACGACAAGCTCAGCTCTGACCTGAAAGGCTGGTCAGTGGCAGGGGCTTTGGTGAGTGAGTCCCTCTTGCAGTCAGGAGAGGCTGGGGGTGGGGAGTGTAAGGGGCCGTGCAACAGCCCCCCCACCCCCGCCGATTCATCGGGGACGTGGGCCAGGCCAGGCAGCCCTCCTGGTGCCCCATGGCCCAGGCCGCAGCCCCGGTGCGCGGACAAAGGCTCAGCTGGAGAAGCCAGGTGACCTGCTTCCTGAGCCGTGGGGCGGCTGGTGCTTCCTTCACTGGGAGTCTGTCTACATTGTATTTTAGGGGAATCAACGTCTCCCTGTTGGCCTGCTGGTACACAAAGCTAACATGGAATTTAAGAAGCCTGTACTCTTGGCTCAGCTCCTCTGGAGGTGGGGAAGAAGATTGAGAGGAAAGCCACCCCCCTGCCATCCCACTGGCCCGAGCTCCCTGCGAGCAGGATGCCGCCTTGCTCCCCTCTGTGTCTCCACGAACCATCCGCAGTGGCGGGGTGGGGAGGGTACAGGCTCAGCGGGGAAGGCCCCACCCTGAGGGCCACCCCCTACTCTGTGCAAATGCCGGTGAGACCAGAGAATTCAAGTGAGGAAGCAAGAGGAGGCCCCGCGGCCCCAGCGACGCGGAGGGCCTCTGCCACAGCCTCCGCCTCCCCTGGGGCCCTCACTCCGGACAGTCCGCTCCTGGCCCGGGCGCAGCTCCAATGCTTACCGCTGGGCAGCAGCTCTGCCACCAGCAGGGGGTAGGCGATGGCGGTGCAACTGGCGCGGATGCCACAGTACTTCTTACACTCTGAAGGCACAACACACGCCACCTTATCTGCAAAGAGACACAGAGTCGCACCAGCATGGGGGCCCCGGGCTCACCAGGAGCTTGGGGTGGAGGTCGGGGAGTCGGGGCTTCTGCCAGTTCACTGCTTAACTTGCAGCCAGTCCTGCGACCCCAACAAGCCTTCTGGTGACCCAGTCGGGTGTTGGAAAAGCAAACAATGATTCAGCCTCACACTGACTGAAGGGCCACTCTTGACCTGACTCCCTTCATCTGGCAGGGACTGTTATTTCAGAGGGTTTGGGGAGAGATGTGGACAAAGGCAAGTAAATGGGGGAAAGTGATAGGCCATCGAGCGCTTAAATGAGGGATAAAATGCTACCACCTGGGAGAAAAGCAGGAACAAGAGTTCAGCGTGGACTAGGACGAGGAAGGCAGGCTTGGGTTTACTCGGAGAGCAAGCAGTTTCACAGGGAGGTCGGGAGAGAATGTGAAAACCAAGGGGCAGCTTGTCCTCTGCCCAGCCCCCGCCCCCCGGGGCGAGCAGGCCCCCCCAGGCCCCCTCGGTGTGGTCCAAGAAGGGCCCCCAGGACCCTGGCCATTCTGGACACACCTTCCCCCACAGGGGCCAGTCCTTGCTGCTCAAGTGGGCTCACTGAGACTCCCCTGGCATTTATGCCCAGGCGCAGAAAGGAAGCATTCTTTCCAGGGCTTTCTGGGCTGGAGGGTGGAAGGCTGGCGCCACTGGTGGTCAACTCACAACAGAGAGACTTCGAGAACACCAGCTTGAAGGAGCTGATATACACGTCATTTTCAGTCTAAAGCCCCAACTATCATGGGACCACCACCACAGACCAGACTGACGAGCCAGCACAAGGGGGCGTGCAGACCCCGGCTCTGGCCGCCCGAGACCCAGAGTCCAAGCCAGGGGCCTTCGCCTTACTGGAAAGCAACCCTCTTCCAGGAAGCGGGCGGAGGCCCAGCTTTTGTGCTGAGCGCCTCTCTGGCTTTATTCAAATCCCAGGCGTGTGGATCCCATCACGAGGGCTGGCTCTTTCTAGGACTGAGGACAAGTGGTCCCAGACCCCTCGCCTCCCCACCCCGGTGCAGGCCCCAGGGCAATCCACAACTCTACTCACCTGGTGGGGAGGAGAGGTAGGGGGCGGGCGGCTCTTCCTGCATCCTGCCGCCCTCCACCAACCCCCAGCCACCTCTAGGGTCCAGGGGTCTCGGGACTTTGCCCAGTCCTCCTCCTCAGTAGGGGGGTGGTCTGTGCCATGCAGGGGTGCTGCGGACACAGGGCGGCCAGCCCAGGGCGCTCTGGGGGCCTGGGGAGCACGGGGGAGGGGACTATTTTCTTTTTTTTTAATATAGTCTACAGACTTTCCTCTTTTAATGTGGATCATTTTTTTAAGTCTTCACTGAATGTGTTATTATACTGCTTCGATTTTATGTTTTGGTTTTCTGGCTGAGAGGCACCGGGGATCTCAGCTCCCTGACCAGGGACCGAACCCACGCTGGAGGGCAGAGTCTTTTTTTTTTTTTTTCTAAAATAAAATTTAAAAAACTTTATTTCCCCATCCGGGTCCCCCCTCCCACCTCCCTCTCCACCCCATCCCTCTGGGTCTTCCCAGTGCACCAGGCCCGAGCACTTGTCTCATGCATCCAACCTGGGCTGGTGATCTGTTTCACCCTAGATAATATACATGTTTCGATGCTGTTCTCTTGAAACACCCCACCCTCGCCTTCTCCCACAGAGTCCACAAGTCTGTTCTATACATCTGAGTCTCTTTTTCTTTTTTTGCATATAGGGTTATCGTTACCATCTTTCTAAATTCCATATATATGTGTTAGTATACTGTAATGGTCTTTATCTTTCTGGCTTACTTCGCTCTGTATAATGGGCTCCAGTTTCATCCATCTCATTAGAACTGATTCAAATGAATTCTTTTTAATGGCTGAGTAATATTCCATGGTGTATATGTACCACAGCTTCCTCATCCATTCGTCTGCTGATGGGCATCTAGGTTGCTTCCATGTCCTGGCTATTATAAACAGTGCTGCGATGAACACTGGGGTGCACGTGTCTCTTTCAGATCTGGTTTCCTCGGTGTGTATGCCCAGAAGTGGGATTGCTGGGTCATATGGCAGTTCTATTTCCAGCTTTTTAAGGAATCTCCACACTGTTCTGCACAGCGGCTGTACTAGTTTGCATTCCCACCAACAGTGTAAGAGGGTTCCCTTTTCTCCACACCCTCTCCAGCATTTATTGCTTGTAGATTTCGGATAGCAGCCATCCTGACTGGCGTGTAATGGTGCCTCACTGTGGTGGAGGGCAGAGTCTTAACCACTGGGCAACCAGGGAAGTCCCATGGGGCCTGTTTCCTAACCTCTGAGGAGGCACCACCCATGAGGCTCCAGAGAGAGCCACCAGACAGCCAGAGCGCAGACCTGGGACGCGGAGGTGGAGCACGCCTCTCTGCTGGGACTGGGAGGGGTCAGCAGTAAGGGCAGCACGTCTCCTCACGTGCCCCTTCGTCTGCCGGGCCTGTCGGGCACCGTGGCAGAAGACGCCACGGGAGCGGCCCGCTCTGCCCCAGTGGCCGCGCCATCAGAGCACATGTGCCACAGAGGTGTAGAACGTGTTCAATGCTCAGTCATGTCCGACTCTTTGTGACCCCGTGGACTGTAGCCCACCAGGCTCCTCTGTCTGTGGGATTCTCCAGGCAAGAACCCTGGAGTGGGCTGCCCTGCCCTTCTATCCATAAAGGTTGAAGGGATAAACAGATCTAGTACCGAGAGGCATTAGAGCCAGTAAAACGGAGCTGAAATGGGGGTGACAGACATCACAAAGTTATGACAGTTCGTTCAGGGAAGCGGGGACGTTTGTGTAGTGCTGAATGGAAAGAATGGGCTGTTTTGGAGGTTCCACACACATGCGGCCCCTGGGCTGTGAGAGGGGTGACGGCACCTGGCATCTGGGAGGACTCACGCAGTGATGCCCGCGGTGACCTCCCCGAGGCCTGGGCCTCAGCCCCACACAGAGATGCAGCAGTGGCTGCAAGTGTGAGGCAAGCAGAAGTAACGCCCTGGCAGGCAGCTTAGATTAGGAGTAGGCCTTCCTACTTCTGGGTGGTAAGATTATCAGGCCACCTGGATACAACCAATTAGCTTTCGCTTAACACTGACCACTGTTTGCCAATTAGGAAATTAGGAATGGGGCGGAAACCCCCAAAGTCCCGCGTGCGGGAAAGTTTTGACCAATGAAACTGCTTTGCAAACGTGTAACCAATCTTCTTAAACCAACTACCAACGGCATCTGCTCACCCTATAAATTTGTGTAACAGCCTGGGCTCGGGGCTCTCTGACACTGCACCACTGCGTTGGATGCGGCAGGAGCCCTGACTCAAGTCAGCAATAAACTTCCCTTTTTGCGAGTTGCATTGTCTTGGAGGCCTTCTCTCTTCCTGCTCGGGGATTCGGACATCAGGCATAACACAAGGAGGGTCAGCCTCTTCCTCCCTGCTGATTTGCCCCTCTGCGATTTCTCTCTTGCCACCTACCTCCACAGTCCCTGCCAGATTTCTGCTCAGCCACGTCCCTCATCTTGTGGGGCTGCCGGGGCTGGCAGGTGGCCCGGAGCTGGGTTTCAGTTTCCCATGAAATGGTGGGATTCCCCGCCCCCATCAGGTAACCTGGAGCCAGGCAATCAATAAGCGCCCAGTAAGAAACAAAGGGAGAGCTAAAAAGCCCGCGGACGCCTAAGTTTGAACAAAAGCCCGCGAAAGTTTGTACCAATAAAATTGCTTTGCAAACATGTAACCAATCCGCTTAAGCCAGCTACTAACTGCTTATGCATACCTTATAAATTTGGGTAACCGCCCCTGCTCAGGGCTCTCTGACCCCGTACCACTGTGTTGGACGCGCGGCAGGAGCCCTGATTCGAGTCAGTAATAAACTTCCCTTTTTTTGAGAGTTGCATTGTCTTGGAAGCCTTCTCTCTTCCCGCTCGGGGATTCGGACACCGGGCGTAACAATCTAAACCCATTGGCCCCCAAGAAAGCAACATGGGGCACCCTGACACCAGCAGGCCGTGGGAGACCTGACAGCCCCAGGCCCTCCCGAGGCCAAAGAGCCGGGAAGTCGCTCAGCGTGAGCGTGGCGGGGCAGGAGGTACCTGTGTACAGGACGCGGCTGATCATTCCCGGCATGACGATGCTGAACATGGGCAACAGCTTCAGGAACCCGCACAGGACGCAGCCGCCTTTCACATGGGACAAGTTCTTCCCCGCCAGGCAGCCCTGGACAAAAATCTGCAGAGGAGACGCAGGTGGGGGCGGGGGCTTTTTCAGAGTGTGTGAGCCTGGGCCGCCTCTGCAGACAGGCCAGGACGGCTGGGGCCTGCAGCAGCAGAGGGTGCCCTGGGGTGGGAGGGGCATGCCAACTGCTCACCCCGCTCCCCCGGCGCCCCCCGGCATGCAGGGCCTCAGGAGACACGTGTGATGGGGCAGCACGTCCTGCTCGGCGCGTGGCTGCCTGAGAGGATGGGGGCAGCCTGCCCTTGGCCTCATTGCAGGAGCCGCACGCCCAGCACAGCGGTGCGGCGCTTACCAGCTGCCCCCTGGCAAGGACGAGACTCCCTCCCAGAGGACACAGAGCGCCTCTGCCCGCGACATCAATCCCAGCACAGGCCTGTCCCTCACAACAAATGGGCATTCAGAGCTAAGGCCAACCTCACTCATCTCAGCAGAAACCAACCAGTGTACACCCTGACAGGCGAAGTCTCCTGGGGGCACGTCACAGCGCTCTAAGAGGTGGTGTGCACTCAGCCCGAGCAGGAGCACACGTGGGCAGATGGAGAAGTGTGTGAGAAAGAACATGCAGATGTGGTCCACTGCATGGAGGCAGTATTCTGTAGGCACTGAAATGATGTGCTCAAGGCATGTTGAAATAATGGGAAAAAAAGCTCGGAGCATGATGCTGACTAAAAGGTACAGGGTGCAGCAGGAGCACTGACACCGTGACTCTGCTCAGAAAAAGCCCACAGGAAGAAACTGGCATGATGACAGTGGTCAATCCTGGCGGGTAGGACTCTCCTGTTCTCCAATGCTTTCTTGCTTTTCCAAATGCATCACTTTATCAATAGGAGGAAGAACCCCAGAGTGGCCCGCCTCATGCCACAGGCACTGCTTCCCAGGGGCCAGGCGGCACCCTGCGGCCTGCCCCCCGGTACCCTGGGGGCCTGTGCTGAGCCGGGCGGCTGGGGGCACTTCCTGTCTCTGCTTAGCCCCGTGCAGAGAGGAGACGGGCTCAAAGGGAGGGGTGGGAGGAGGGCTGGGGCCGAAGCCAGCTCCCATTCTGAGGACAGGACAGTCGTGGGGCATGAAGCCGCTGCACGCAGAAAGCCCTCAGCACTTGCGTAGGTGGTCATGTATCACTGAGTGGGGGTGATGGACGAATTCTTGTTTAAAACGATGGTCATTGTTCTTCCGTCAGTAAGTTGGGTCTGACTTTGCAACCCCATGGACTGCAGCACGCCAGGCTTCCCTGTCCTTCACCATCTCCTGGAGTTTGCTCAAAATCATGTCCATTGAGTCAATGATGCCCTTCAACCATCTCATCCTCTGTCATCTCCTTCTCCTCTTGCCCTCAGCCTTTCCCATCATCAGGGTCTTTTCCAATGAGTCAGTTCTTCACATCAGGTGGTCAAAGTAGTGGAGCTTCAGCTTCAGCCATCAGTCCTTCCAATGAATATTCAGGGTTGACTTCCTTTAGGATTGACTGGTTTGATCTCCTTCCTGTCCAAAGGACTCTCCAGAGTCTTCTCCAACACCACAGTTTGAAAGCATCAATTCTTTGGCGCTCTGCCTTCCTTAGGATTCAACTCTCACATCTGTACATGATTACTGGAAAGACCATACCCTTGACTATACAGATCTTCGCTGGCAAAGTGATGTCTCTGCTTTTTAACGTACTGTCTAGGTTTGTCATAGCTTTCCTTCCAAGAAGCAAGAGTCTTCTGATTTCTTGGCTACAGTCACCATCCACAGCAGTAGGCAAAGGAAAATAGTTTTCCTTCTGTCAGTTTATTTGCCTCTTTTTCAATAAAATTTTTTCTTAAATCATTTTCTTTACTAGTTTGGAAGTTAGAGATTCTACTTTAATGCTTTCAATAATTACCCTTAACATTTTAACATGGATACAACTTCAGATCTAAAGAAAACCAGTATTCGCACACTCCTCAACAATTTCAGGTGCACAGACAAATTTGACTTCAACTGTGGTCTCGTATTTTAGCTCTGCTCTGCATTTTACTTCCCGTGTGCATAAGCACAATGACTTTCAGGCACTGCTTCAGATCTGTGCATGTGCTGGGAGCATCTCTAACCATCCCTCCTGCTCTCCAGGACCTCCTTTTACGTTAGGCACCTCGTTCAGTATCTAGGGAAGGTTATGCCTTTACTTTTATTATCTTTAATATGTTTACTTACTTATTTGGCTGTGCCGGGTCTTAGTTGCAGCATGCGGGATCTAGTTCCCAACCAGGGATTGAATCTGGGCCCCCTGCGTTGGGAGACTGGAGTCTCAGCCACCGGACCACCAGGGTAGTCCCAGTTATGACTTTATTTTGCCCTCACTTCTGAGTAATAGTTAGCTGGGCACCTGATGGAAAGAGGGTATCTCCCTCAGTACTTGGAAAGCTCTCTTCCTCTCCCTCAGGTTATGCTGCTTCTACGTCTGTTGGGGGTACCTGTCTTCCTCCACAAGTGATCTTTTATCTCAGGGGCTCTCAAAGTCTCCTCATCTTTCACGTGCTGAAACTTCACCAACAGGTGACTCTGTGCAGATGTGCACAGGAGCCACTGTGACTCCTGAATCTGAAGAGTCCTGCTCTTTCAACGACTGTAAAAATTCTCAGTTATCTTCTCTTCAAATATTGCTTCTCTTTTCTCCTGGAATCCAAGCAAGTATTTCAATCCTGTTATCCACGTCACAGTCTCTCTTTCAAACTTTTTTGTGCTGTTACGGCAATTTCTTCAGTTCTCTCTTCTAGGTTTCTAATTCTTTCCTTCAGGTATGTTTAATCTGTCATTTTAACAGATACTGAATTTTACACTTCAACAAGGATATTTTGCACTTCCAGGAGTTTGAGCTTTAAATCTAACTGGTCATTTTTGACGGAATTGTGTTCATGTTTTCAGGTCCACTTCTACTTCCTTATCCGCGTATTTTGTGTTTGGTGTCTAATACCTCAGGTTTCTGAAGTGAGGGGTTTCTTGCTTGTGGTGGCTAGGTTCCAGCCTGTTTTCTAATTTTTACAGAAGGACTTTTCTTGTCTTCGCGCAAGGCAGCATAACAAGACGCGTGATCAGCACAAAGCGAGGACCGCAAGCAACAAGGCTGCGCCACCTGACGGAGCGCGCTGCCCCCTCTTCCGGCCGCCCGGCCCTCCAGTCCGCGCACTCGCCAGTGCTGCTCCGGGCACGGGCACGGCGGCCCCCGCGGCCGCTCTCAAGTGCGAGGCAGCCCTCGGTGTCCGCCCCCGCGCCGCCCGCCCCGTCTCATCCGCCCACCTCAGTACCCAGCACGCTCGACGCTGTCGGCAAGGCCTCGCCTGAGGTCCCTCGTGAACCTGGATGAGGGCCGGGGGGTGCCTCTGGGGAGCCGCACTGCTTGGTCCCAGAGCGCAGCTTACGAGGCTTGACTCAACACTCAGGCCTCCAGAGCAGGCTACCCCGGTCTGCACTCTCACCAGCGCCGCGAGGATCCCTGCACATCCACGTCCTCCCCAGTGCTTGGCGTCAAGCTTCCTGACTTTTGCCAGTCTCATTGTGGTTTTAAATTGCACTCCCCCGATAATCCTGGGCTATATTTCATTTTCTACAAATTGCCTGTCATTGTCTTTTGCCCCCGTGGCTGTTGGAGTGCCTTTTTTCTCGTGCGTTTGCTATTAGTCTCCTGCTCATCGCAAACATTTCTAATGGTCTCCTCTAGCCCATCATCCGTCAACTTTGTCGAGGACAGCTTTGTTAAAAACGCCCGCCGTGCAATGTGGTCAAATCGCTATGACTGACACTCCCCACATCTAAGAAAGTGTTCACCCACGTTACCTTCCCTTATTAGAGTATGGGTTTCCCTTTCAGTTAAGTCTTTAATTCACCCGAAGTCTCCCCTGTTGACTGGTGCAGCCTCCAGAACACACATTAAGTCCCTACAAGTGTGTGATCTGTCTCTGAGCTCCGCTCCGCTCCGTTGGTCTGTGTATCTGCTCCTGGGAACCTCAAACTGCTTGCCTTGCTGCAACTATGTCGATGTTTAAATGTCTCCCACTTTGTTCTTCGTTTTCAACCTCAGGTTAGCTATCTGTGACATCTCCCTTCATAAAAGGCTTAAGCCCTTTTTACTGTGATATAACACATGGATGTATGCTGTAGCACATTATGGAGCGCTGTAGTTCCATTATCATGGAACCACCACCCAATTCAAGAGGTGCAACTCTGCGGAAACCCAGAAGCCTCTCTCCATGATCCTTTTTTTAAATGTCAAGGTAAAGTTCACATAACATATAACTATCCATTTATCTTTTACTTTTTGGCCATGCTGTGTAGCACGTGGGATCTTAGTTTCCCAACCAGGGATCAACCTTGTGCCCCGTGCATTGGAAATGAGAAGTCTTAGCCACTGGCCTGTCAGGGAAATCTCTGTAATTAATCAAGTGAACAATTCAGTAGTGGTTAGTGCATCCCCAATGTTGCACAATCTCCACCTCTTTCCAACGTCAAAACCTTTTCATGACCCAGAAGAGCACCCAGGAACACAAAAGTAGTCACTCTCCATTCTTCCTCCACTCCTCCCCTGGGAGTCACTGATTGGATTTTTGTCTCCATGGATTTGCCTGTTCTGAATATTTCATATAAAAGGAATCATACAACAGGTGAACTGTTGAGCCTGGCTTTTTTCACTGAGCCTAATGTTCTTAGATTCATCAAACATGTAGCATGTAACAGAATTTCATTTCTTTTTATGGCTGAATAATATTCCAACACACAGATACACGTTTTGTTCATTCATTCCTTGGTGGATATTTGGGTCACTTCCACTTTTTAATGATTGTTGATAACACTGTTACGTGTGCTTCTTTTTAACCTCAACTCTTCCCCTTGCTTCAGAAATGACTGCTTTAATGACCGTTTTATTTCCTCCTTGCTTTTCTTTATAATTTTCTGTTACTTAATTGTGTGGACTGAACGTAACTTGGCGTTGCCTGTGTCACACAGCACCTAGCCTTCTGTGTCTGGCTTCTTTTATTTGGCATCATGCTCTAAAGGTTCATTCATGTCATGGTGTGCAGCTGTACCTCCTTTTCTTTATTGCCTTTCCACTGTATGACTATTTCACAATTTAGTGATCGACCACTGATAGAACCATGTCATCTTTAGAATAAGCTTTGAGTCCTGAAAAAAAAAATCCAACTGAAATACTGATTAGCAGCATTTAATTATTAGACTTGGTTTTGGAGAACTGACATTTTTCATGAGCAAAAAACTGTGCTTTGCAGATAATGAGAGGGAAGGAGAAATGAAAACAGGTGCTGTGCTGCAGATGGGACTGGGGGGGAGACCACTTTTTAAAAATTTATTATTGGTTTTTAAACATGCTACATTTTAAAAGAGTTTTTTCGCCATACCCCACAGCATGTGGGATCTTAGTTCCCCAACCAGGGATGGAACCCATGTCTCCTACATTGGAAGGCAGAGTCTCAACCAATGGACCACCAGGAAGTCCCCCCCACCACCACCTTTTTTAAAAAAATGCCACGTCAAACTTTTTTTCTAAACTTTAGAGGCCTCTCTTAGACAGCGTGGGGCTGCAGCACCTGGGCACCGCACGAGGCTGGGAGGGAAGCCCACCTGTAGCTGCAGAGACCCATCAGCGCCGTGAGTCGCGTTACCTGGTCGGTGCACCAGTAGTACAAGGAGATGACGGAGAGGCCAAAGACGGTCCCAGGCCAGGGAATGTCTCCAGTGACGGGGTCTCGGAAGATATGGAAGGCGTCCACGCGTGGCATGAGGCACTCCATCGGGGCAGTCCAGTTCCCTTCCCAGGTGAGGGCTGGCTTGGCCTCCGGGTACCTGCTCTGCAGCTCCTGGTATCCGCCTATCTCATTAAAGGCTTGAAAACACCACACAGTCGGTCAGCACCTTCAGCTGCACAGGAGCCAAGGCGGCAACGTGAGACACGACAGGGTGGCGGACAGCTGACGCTGTGCGTGCTGGCAGAGAGGCCCTCTCCTCCAACGCCAGCGTGGAGTGGACACTGGGGGCTGTGTGCCTGGCCCCCGTCCTCCTGCTTCTGGGGGCAGACCCCTCTCTCCAGCTGCACTCCACCGCACATGGCTCAGGCGGGCCTTGTCTAACTGTCCACCGGGCACTCTCATCTGGCATGTGACCGAGGCCTGGCCAGCACTCCCTGTTCCCGGGCAGCTGACATGTCAGGAATGGACTTGAGAGCCAGGCCCAACTAATTTACACAGAACTCGTCGTCCCAGGAGCCTTCTGCTTAAGGCACCAAAAACGCCTGCTTCCTTGCTTTGGGTGCTAAGCAAGAAGGGGAGTGTGAGGTCCTTCTGTCCACCTGGCTCTGCAGAAGCCTGGGTCAAGCTGTGCTCAAAAGTAAGATGCCCTGGAATTTCCAGTCTTGTGAGTCAAGGAAGTGCTTATTGCTTCAACTAGCTTTGAACTAAAGTTTTATCACAAGTGACTCAAAGAATCTCGACTAAATCAGAAATTAATATTCATTTTCCTGCAATCCCAGGAAAATGTTTGTGAGACTTCATGTTGGGAATTTTCCTCAGTGCTCAAAGCATTTCTTCCTCAGTATCCTAACCCGTGTAAAACGTTATTATTAAAGAAAAATGTTTTTAAAAGGCACTAAAACACACATAATTCCACCTACATAACTAAAAAACACCTTGTGAAAGTAAGTCACTTAGTTGGGTCTGACTCTTTGCGACCCCATGGATTATACAGTCCACGGGATTCTCCAGGCCAGAATACTAGAGTGGGTAGCCTTTCCCTTCTCCAGAGGACCTTCCTAACCCAGGCCTTTGGCATAATAAACCAAGTTCCTTTGAATTTTGAAATGGATCCAGAATCATTTGGAGTCAAGGCGAGTCACTGAAAGATATGGAGTGACTATACAATGAGTAAGACCCCTCATGGCATTTCTAAAAGCAATTTCCATGTGGATTTGTAAAAGGTGAACTACAAAGCCACAAAGATAAATATTAGAAGAAAATAAGAAAGTATCTTTATGAACTTGGGTGAGGAAGCAGAACATTCTTAAAGCACGGAAAGAAAGAAAAGAGGTTGATAAATGTGACGTTAAATTTTCAAACTTGTATGACGGAAACCAAATAAAAAATGTGTTAGACTCAAAGAAGAGATTTTGACCACGTATGAAGGATTCACACATCAACAGCCAAGGAAAATTATTGGAAAGAAACACGGCGGTGAATGTGAAATTCACAGAGCAAGAAATACAGATGGCTGTTAAGTGTGTGAAAGGATGCTCAACCTCACTAGTGTCCGGAGAATTCAAATTAAAACAAAAATGAGATACTTCCACCCCCCTTCACCTATTAGGCCTATTTTTATTATTTTTTAAATTTTATTTATTTCTTTGGCTGCACTGGGTCTTAGTTGCAGCATGTGTGATCTTTCTAGTCGCTGCATGTGGGATCTAGTTCCCTGACCAGGGATGAAGCCCAGGCCCCCTGCATTGAGAGTGGAGAGTCTTAGCCACTGGACTACCAGAGAAGTCCCTGGGCATATTTTTAAAAAGTCTTAAGACATCAGGTGTTACAGGGGAGGTTAGGAAACACACATTCTCATACATCTCTGAGAATGTAGTTAAAACTGACACTTAGGAGAGGAAACTGAGGGATTTCTTGACAAATCCAGGAATGCAAGGTTAACATGCAAAACCAAGTTACCGTAATGTGCTATTTTAACAGAAAAAGGAAAAAAATAATCTGATCACCTAAGCAGATGTGGAAAAAACATTTGATATAGTTCAAAATCTGCTCATGATAATCTTAGCAAGCTAGGAACAGAAGGGAACTTTGTTAGTATGACAAAAAGTATCTACCAAAAAAGTGACAGCAAATATTTAGTGGTCGTATTTAACATTTAATGGAATAGCCAGAGCTTCACTGCTAAATCAGAAAGAGACAGGGAGGCCTGGTGTCTTCCTTGTACCATGTATGTCTTGGCCAGTGTGAAGAGGCAAGAAAAAGACACAAAAGGCATAACGTCTGGAAAAGGAAACAGAAAGCCCACCCTCTTCTCGGGTGCTGGATGCAGAGTGTGTTCCCTTTGTGACGCTTCATCTCGCTACCTGCTTTGATCTGTGCCCTCTACAATAAGAAGTTAAGAATAAATACAAACACAGAGAAGATGCAGTAGATCTCTATTTACTGATATAAAAGTCTGCCTAGGATACAGTTCCAGTGGTGAAAAACAGATGCAAAATGTTCTCATTCTATTAAGATGTATATCTCCCAGACATATGCGTTTGTACAGGTACACACACCTCATTTTGTGTTCTGCTTTACTGCGCTTTGTAGATATTGTGTTGCTTTTGTTTGCCTGTGTTTTACAAATGGAAGGTCTGTGGCTACCTGCAACGAGCAGGTCTATCAGTGCCATTTTTCTAACAGTATTATTTTTAAAAAAAGGCGTGTACCTTGTTTTTAGATATACTAATATTGTACACTTAATACAGTACTATGCTACACTATAAACATAACTCTCATATGTACTTGGAAACCAAAGAACTTGTGTGACTTGCTTTGTGGTATTTGCTTCATTGCTGTAATCTGGAGCCAAGCCACACTCTATCCAAGGTCTGCCTGTACACTATCTCTGGAAGGATGTACACAAAACTTAGGATTCTGGTTGGTTCTGGGGAGTCAAATCAAGAAAATGAGAGTGATAAATATTTCACCTGGTACCCTTTTGTTTTCTTTACCTTGTGTATGCACGCATACATGCATGCTAAATTGCTTCAGTCGTGTCTGCCTCTTTGCGACCCTATGGACGTAACCCGCAAGGCTCCTCTGTCCATGGGATTCTCCAGGCAAGAATACTGGAGTGGGCTGCCATGCCCTCCTCCAGGGGATCTTCCCAACCCAGGGACTGAACCTGCATCTCTTATGTCTCCTACATCGGCAAGCAGATTCTTCACCACTAGTGCCACCCAGGAAGCCCACCTTGTGTATATACTAATTAAAAGTTAAAAATAAAAAAAGCTGTATGTGCATCAGTTCCCACAGTGACTGGTTTGAAGACAACATTTCTAACTACAAATTTTTGTGTATTTTAAAAAGAAAAGAAGCCCCCACAACAGTTTACTCATCAGGAGAACTAGCATGGATACCCCAATAAAAAATCCGTTACAGAAAATGTCATAGTCTGTCTGGGCTGCTGTTAACAAAACCCCAGGTAGTGGGCGGCTTACTTCCCACGGTTCTGGAGGCTGGGACTCCAAGCTCAAGGTGCTGGCTGAGTGAGGTTGGCCATGTCCTCATGTGGCAGAAAGGACGAGGGAGTTCTCTGGGGTCTCTTTCATAAGAGTACTAAAGCTGTTCATACAGGTCTTCCCTCAAGAACTAACCACCTCCCAATACCATCACGTTGGAGGTTAGGATTTCAACTTAGGAATGTTGGGGGGAATAGAAAAATTCAGCCTGTAACAGTAAATGATACATAATTATTTAGAGATGTAACTGCTAACATTAAATGCCCCCAAAGTTTAACTGGATATCATTCTCAAGCATTGGGATGGTCCTGGCAGATTTTAATAAAGTTGATATTTAATACTAGCGCACGAATAAACACAGTGACTTAAAGAGCATTTTATAGTTTATAATTTTGGCACTCAAATCGGCCCTTGCTGCCCAGGTCTTTAAAACTTCCCTGGACCATGCCTGAAATGTGTTTTGTGTGCCAGAAGCACGGTGCTGAGCAAACTTCAAGGAGCACTAATGCTTCCTGAATGGCGAGACTGAGGTTTGTGATTCTGTGGTCCTCCATGCTCTCCTTCCATGGAGCTCAATATCTGCTCTACGGAACCATAATCCTTCAACTCAATTTGAATGTCATTTCAATAATTTTCCCATACCCGAGCCCAGAGCTTTCCCTTCTAAGTTTCTGCAAGACACACCTATGACCCACCGCCAAGCTCGGTCAGGCTCCCCCCAGCGAGTGGGACAGGTGCCGTAAGAGGCCATTTGCACATCAGGGGCTTCCCTGCTCGAGGGATGCAGCTCCGAGTTCTATTCTTGGTGTGTTTCATCAACAAGTTGTTAAACCGAGTAACTCGGCTTCCTCGTCACTCAATTAAGGAAAACAGAAGCAGCGAGGCCTCGGGTGACCGTGACGGCTAAGTGAGACGGTACAAACCCCGGCCTGGCGCCTGGTTCTCGGTCGGTGTCAGCCGTCGCTCTCATTCGCGTTGCTCACTGAGCACCTGCTGTGTGCATCAGACTACACATCGTGTGAAGGGTGTGACGGCTCTGGTCCTCAAGAAGCTCTGGGCCTGGGGGTGCGACTTACTTATGTAATACAAGGAATGATCAAGGTTGAGTGCCAACAAAAAAACTCATGTTGGAAAAAAACAAGTGTCACGTTGCGTTGGTAGTGATGCAAGTCAAGGATGCAGAAGTGTGGCCATCGTGGAGTCACAGGTTTGGGGGCGGGTTTTCCGCTGACCCTGACAGATGGATTTAACCCAATGGACAGAAGGAGAAGGGTTTCTGATGGAGAGGAAGGGCGTGGCTCAGAGCAGGGCCAAGCCCGGCAGGCCACTCCCGACACCTGCTCAAAGCCCTGGAGTCTGTCGTCACCCCCTGCTCCTCGACCCCTCTTTCTCCACGAGCAGAAGTTCCCACCCTAGGTGGTCAGCATAACCTCAGACAGTGCTCACTCATGGGTCCTGAGGGCCTCAGTCCCGTGTGTGTGACAGGGCAGTGCTGAAATGGCCCCAGGCAGCAGTCAGAGCCCCCCAACCCCACCATGGTGCCCAGCAGTCTCTAGATTTACTTACCATAGCCCATTAACAAGACAGAGCCCAGAACCACGAAGCTGGCGTGTAAGATATCAGTGTAAACCACGGCTGCAAAACCACCTGAATGGGCGAGAGGGGGAGAGGGAAGCCCTGCCTGACCCTGGGGGAGTCACTGTGTGCCCAGCGCACACTCGTGCCCCCGTCTCCACACCCACACCTCCATCCTCACTTCACTGGGCCTCACAACTGCCCATGCTGTGCCCAGGTGCACGCTGCCTTCTCCCTTGAACAGCCTCTGCGATCTGCTGTTGCAGTCTTACTCTGCCTATCTGTATCCCAATTTCCTTTTACTCCCATTTTCTGGATGAAAATCTGGTAGTTTTCCTAAGCAAAAAGTATACAGGTCTTCCCTGACTTAGATCGGGTTACATCATGAGAAACTCACTGCTAAGTTGAAGGGATCACTAGGTTGAAGATGCCTTTTCTGTATCTCACCCCCCAAACATCACAGCGTAGCCTCGCCTGCCTTAAATGTGCTCAGAACACACACACTAGCCTACAGCTGGGCAAAACCATTAACAGAACCTATTTTATAATGACATGCTGATCATCTCGGGTAATTTACTGAACACCATCCTGAAGGCTGTCTGGGCAGAGGATGGTGGTTCACCCCATGGTCTTGTGGTTGATGGGGAGTGGCTGCCACCCAGGACTATGACTGTATCATGTCACGTGTTGTTAACCCAAGATGGAATCAATATTAAGAACTGAAGCATCCCCCTAAAAAGTCTCATCCAATGGCCTGCCCAGGTCACCAGGCAACCAGGATGACCTGAAGCAGGTGCGTCCCTTCTCCCCCGTCTGCGCCCCAACCCGGTCATCCCACAGCCAGCTGCGTCAGGCCCACACCACCCCAAACACAACCGCTGCTAGCCCTGCCGAGCCCCTTGGAAAGCCCCCGCCGGTCTGATGAGATTTCCAGGAGCAGGGCACCACTCGGGCACCCCTGCCTCATTTATTTTCAGTATTCGGCTCTTTCAGGCCTCAGCAATGTGACAGTCTCAGGGAAAATGCAAAAGCTGGACCCATCTCAATGTCTTCAGGTCTCCACTAAGCCACAGAGCTTTTGCGGCAACACAAATACCTGTGGTGTTAGAGTGACCTCACCTGTGATGGAATATATGCCGGTAACAGACAGCAAGATCACGGTGGCCAGGTAAACATCCAGCCCCAGAACCAACCTCATAAACACGGCGCCTGTGCAGATCTCCACCTGAAATGAGTACAAAGGCAGTGAGCTGCACTTCCGTTTCCCAGAAAGACCCTGATCTAGAGGCCATCTTCAGTCAGCAGGTCCACTCCATCCCCAGTGGACACTAGGGGAGGTCTCTCCACATCCTGCTGGGCAACACGGCTGGTGGCCATAAGTTCAGCCAAGGTCAGCACTTCTAAAGCTTGGGTTAATCCAGTTAATGCAACTTAGCCTCTTCCTACTTGGAGCCTAAGAGTGGGGAGTGTGCTCAGAGAGCTGGCTTTTTCCGCAGTGTCACCAGCGGGGCAGGCAGAGGGGACAGCTTACTAGGACTGGCAAGCTTTTTCTGTAAAGGGACGGTGCTGAACGCTGTGGGCTTTGCAAGACATGGACTGTTTCTGGTTTTGCTGACCCTTTAAATGGTAAAGACCGTCTTTAGTTCAAGTGCTGTACAAAGCGGACCTCTAGGCTGACGGCCTGCAGACTGGCTCTGCTGCTTGTGGGCTGTGCTGACGCCGACTCGGCAGTGTGCGCACTTCACTTCCTGGCTAACCTCCTGCCTCGCTCCTCTGGTCAGCACACCCAGAGGCGTGATCAGCAGAGGTCTTCCCAGCATATCCATTCACACACTGATTGTTTGCCAAGTACCAACCACACGACAAGACACTCGGCAGGGTTCAGAGGGCCCGGGGTTACCAAAACTCAGCCAGTCTTCAAGGAGGACTCCCTCCTTATGCTTAAGGAGTGAGGCAGACCACCAGACAGGCAATTTTCATGCAGTGTGATAAGTGACACTCATTCAGTCGTTCAAAGAACACTTCTCTCAGTGTTTCTGTGCTAACCATGCTCTCAGCTAACTTCCAGTCCCAGAGCTGGCTGGGAAGGCAGGGAGCAAGCCAGGCAACGCCTGGGAGCTCAAGAAGCTCATCCTGGAGTGAAGAACGAAAGTAAGGAAGGAAACAGGTCAATCTTCGCACATGGTGGCATGTATCAGGAAACAGAAACAGTAATGGAGAATGAATGGGTGCATCCAAGGAAGGCCTCTCCTAGGAGGCGATATTTGAAAGATCTGGGGGAAGAACATTCCAGACATAGTACAGAGCAGGTGTCAAGGGCTTCAGGTGGGAATAAGCTCGTAGGATCTGGAAAACAGTACGGAAAGGAGACCATGTCAGAGGCAGGGTCCGGACTGGAAGGCCTCACAGGTCACAGCTGGGGGTCCCGGTCTCTGTGAGGGTGGTAGGACCTGGACTGTTTCAAGGAGGGGAGGGGCGCCTCCTGATGACATGACAGGAATAAGCCCAAGGTTCCCTGGGAACACAGGCTCGGGAGGCAAAGAAGGTGCTCTGCCGTTTAGCTTGTGTATTACTCAGCTACTTTTTCTCTGCTTTAGTTTAGACAATGGAGGCTGATATGTAGCTTAGGGAGCCCCAGAGTAAACTCCTGGGGCACATCTAGTCCTGCCTATCGATTTTTCTGTGTTTCCCTTCCATGGACTCGCCTTTACACAACTCACCGAGATCTTACTGAAGATATAGATGAGTAAGTACAGAATAGCCAGGAGGAACTGGATCCGGTAGCCACCAAACCTCTTCCTCAAGTATCTGGGCAGCGTCACTACCTGAAGAACAGTAAGAGAGGCCCCATGAGGCAGAGGGCTCACGGAGTGCTGGCTGGCACGGAGACACAGCCCAGGAGTCTCAGCTGCTCTGCATGAACACTGCTAAGACAAGGGAATCAGGGAGAGGTGATACCGCTGTCTTCAGGAAGCTTGGAATCTAGCTCCTGTCCAGTCTTTGGAAAGCGGAAGCAATGATGTCTATGATAACAAATGACTTTTGTGAAATCTTCATACAGCAAAATCAAATGTTTTATCAGATACCACAAGTATACCGCGTTGTTGAGGGACACATGACCTGACGCCACAGCTCTCCCGGGCCTCCGCGCTCACGCTCCTGGGGTGCGGGGGGTGCCCCGAGCCGTCCTGCTCACCTCTGCCTCCACCATCTCACGCTGCGCGTGCCCAGGGGCAGGAGCACCCCCCTCACCCAGCAGACGCCTGGCCCCAAGCACAGGGCTCACGGAGGTGAAGGCGCCCCCGGTAACGAGGGTGCTCCTGGGCGCTCGCCCCCCTGCCTCCCACACGCGCGTCCCGGCTGCGGGCCTGACACCCACAGCTTCTACTAGCTTCCCCTCCGCCTGGCCTTAACCACGCCTGACACCCTCCGCTGACTCTCAGTCAGCCCCAAGCCGCTGCACTCCCAGGGCTGCCGTCACAAGGTGCGGCGCAGCAGCTCGCTTGGCAGACACGTGTTGTCCTGCAGCTCTGGGGCCAGAAGCGTGCAGTGCCAGGGGCCACTTTCCTTGGGCCTCGAGGAAGGGAGAGCCAGGCCCCTCTCCTTGTCTGGCGGAGGCCGTCTCCCCCGTGTCTGCTTATCCTCCCCTCTGTACGTGTCTGTATCCCATGTTCTCTTCTCATAAAGTCATGCTGAATTAGGACCCACCCTCACAACCTCATTTAAACTCAATTACTTCTTTAAAAACCTTATCTCAAAAGACGTCACAATCTAGGGTGATTTTCCTGGGATTACGGCTTCATAGTTGCAAGCATTAGACTGCAAGGCAAACCAAGCCTTCCACAATTTTAACGCCCTCTCCACAAGTATTTTAAATGTTTAAGTCTTATGAGGCATGGTTTACACACAGTAAAATGATCCCATTTTAAAATCTGAGGAGTTTGGGTAAATGTACACAATTGTGTGGTCACCACCACACTCAAGATGTAAGGCATCTCCAATGCCCCTCAAAGCCCCCGAGGGTGTGGGTCTGGGACCTTCTCCACCCCTGATCCTTGGATGTCCAGCTCACCTTCCCTGGAGCTCAAACCCTGTCCAGCTCCTTTCACCTGCTGCAACGCCCTGTAGGTCATCCATGCCAGCACTTGACTCCTTAGGGCTACCGAGTACCATGCTGCAGGCTGTCTGTCCATCCCCCACACAGTTCAGGTTATAGGTTCAGACGTTATGCCTAGAACTTCCCATACAGTCTGTGTGTGTACATGCACCTTCACGTCTCTGGGGTGGGGGGGAAGTGCCACGCCCAGGACCAGAGCAGCTGGGTCCTAAGGCGTAACTGGGCAAGAGACTGCCAACCTGTTTCTGGAGTTCTCTCTGGAAAGGCAGGGGGTCCCCGAAGCACCACAGCCTCTCCCGCTCTTGACGCATCAGCCCTCTTTATCTCAGCGGTTCAGCGCGTCTGTGTGGGATCCTAAGTAGCATTTCCCTAACAATCAGTGACAGTGAACATCCTTTCACGCCATCATCTGTCATCTGTAAGGCGAAATGTATGGGGAAATGCTATCTTGTTATAAATTATAAGAGTTTTTTAAAAAATGTGTATATTCAGGACATAAGTATTTCATTATGAATGTGTTCTATAAATAATCCTCTGCAGTCTCTAGCTTGACTTCTCATTTTCTTAAAAATCTCTTTCAAAGAGTTAAAGTTTAAAGTTATACTTTGAAGTCCAATATATAAATTTCTCCCTTTATGGTTTGTATAAGAAATCTACACCTTACCAATAACCTTCATTTTTTTCTTTGCAATGGTTCTTTTTTAAATTGATGTATAAATGACATATAACCTTATATTGGTTTCAAGCGTACAACATAATATTTCAATATTTGTATATATTTCATCTTCATTTTTTTTTGACCACACAACTTGCAGGATCTTAGTTCCCAGACTAGGGATTGAACCTGGACCCTGGGCAGGGAAAACACAGAGTCCCAACCACTGAGTCACCAGGGAATTTGCTCATCTTCATTTTAAAAAATACTTCTGCTGGGCATAGAATTTTTGGTTGACAGCTTTTTCTTCCTTTCAGCATCTGACTGCATCATTCTGATGTTTTCTGGCCTCCACTGTTCTGAGCAGAAGGCATCTATTAAGTATATCATTGTTCCCCTGCATGTAATGTGTGACTTCTCTTTGACCATTTTCAAACTTTCCTCTCTATCTTCGCTTTTAGCATTCTGACTATGATGTAAGCCTATGTGTAGTTTCCTTTGTGTTTATGCTATTTGGTGTTGGTTAAGCTTGCTGAATCTGTAAATTAACATTTTCATCAGAGGAGATATTTCCAGTTATTATTTCTTCAAATAATGTTTGGGGTTAAAATTTGGGGGGCACCTATGAACTTCATGATCTTGGAGAGTCAAACCTTTGCTTAGATCTGGGAAGTTCTCAATCATTACGTAACCTTTCTGCCTGCTTCTCCCTCTTCTCCAGGAATGTGTTGACCGTTTCTTTTAATGGTGTCCCATCGTTCACACGGACTTTCCTCACTGCTTCTCATTCCTTTTCCTTTGTTCTCCTCTGACTGTGTGTGCGTGCTCAGTCGCCAAGTTGTGTCTGACTCTTTGCGACCCCATGGGCTGTAGTCTTGCCAGGCTCCTCCATCTGTGGGATTTCCCAGGCAAGAACACTGGAGTGGGTTTCTATTTCCCCCTCCAGGGGATTTTCCTGACCCAGGGATGGAACCCACATCTCCTGTGTCTCTGGCATTGGTAGGCAGATTCTTTACCACTAAGCCACTGGGAAGCTGCTTCTCCTTAAGTGGGTAATTTCAAATGACCTGTCACTGAGTTCACAGAATCTTTCTTCTGCTTTGCTAAGTCTGCTGTAGATGCTTTCAACTGCAGTTTTCACTTCATTCACTGTAATCTTCAGTCCAGAATGTCTATCTGGTTATTTTTATGATTTTTCTGTTAAACTCATTTCCATTATGTATTGTTTTCTTTATTCTGTTGAATTGTCCTTCTGTGTTTTCTTGTAGGTCACTGAGTTTCCTTCAGACAACAATCTTGAACTCTTTATCAGGTAGGTCTTTGGGGTTCGTCAATGTTAAACTATGGTGTTCCTCTGGTGGTGTCACATTTTCTTAATTGTTCATGTTTCTCGTAGTCTTGTGCTGCTGTCTGTGCACTGAGGCACGGTCACCAGCTCTTTCCCCTGATTGCTTCTGGAGAAAGACACCTTCCATCAATCCTGCAAGAGGTTCTGAGACCTTCTCAGATCTTGTCTGTGGACGCACTGGCTTCTCATGCCCTCCTTGATCCCACGAAGCCAGGCTGTGTGCTGACTGCCTCCCGAGGCTGGGCTGAGCGCTCATCTGTGGCTCTCCCAGTCCCCATGAAGCCAGGCTGTGTGCTGATAGCCTCCCAAGGCTGGGCTGAGCGCTCATCTGTGGCCTTCCCAGTCTCCATGAAGCCAGGCTGTGTGCTGACAGCCTTCCCGAGGGTGGGCTGAGCGCTCATCTGTGGCCCTCCCAATCCCCATGAAGCCAGGCTGTGTGCTGACTGCCTCCCGAGGCTGGGCTGAGCGCTCATCTGTGGCTCTCCCAGTCCCCATGAAGCCAGGCTGTGTGCTGACAGCCTTCCCGAGGGTGGGCTGAGTGCTCATCTGTGGCTCTCCCAGTCCCCATGAAGCCAGGCTGTGTGCTGACAGCCTTCCCGAGGGTGGGCTGAGTGCTCATCTGTGGCCCTCCCAGTCTCCATGAAGCCAGGCTGTGTGCTGACTGCCTCCCGAGGCTGGGCTGAGCGCTCATCTGTGGCTCTCCCAGTCCCCATGAAGCCAGGCTGTGTGCTGCCTCCCGAGGCTGGGCTGAGCGCTCATCTGTGGCCCTCCCAGTCCCCATGAAGCCAGGCTGTGTGCTGACTGCCTCCCGAGGCTGGGCTGAGCGCTCATCTGTGGCCCTCCCAGTCCCACAGGCAGGCTGGTCTCCTGCATGTGCCGCTAGCTCTCTGCCGGGGCTCAGCACACCGCCACTGGGGATGAACAAAGGGAGCTGGCTGACGGGGCAGGCATACACGGGTGGTGCATGCAGCGCAGCAGGGATGTCTGTGGGCAGCTGGGGGACCTGCAGGAGAGGAGCCCCAGCAGCTCGCGGGCGTCTTCCTCATAGAGAGTCCGTGAGGGGCCTCTGTGTTCCTGGTGCCGTCTGAGAGCCCTGGGAGCAGCTCTCCAAGCCCCTCCCTGTCCCCTGGCCACACGGCGCACTTCAGTATTCCGGAGGGAGGGGGAACCAAGCAGGTCCTTCTGGCAGCATACTGCATGGCTAGTGCAGCTGAGCGCTTTCACGTGCTCACTGCCCTCACGGGGGAATCTCAGGCTGAGACGCTCCCTCTTGGCAAGAGCTGTGCCACCTTGGGGGGGGGGGGTGGTGACGTGGGTAAAGTGGACCTGCCCCCTCACCCTCTTCAGTGCATCCAGTCTTTTTTTTTCCCAAAAGCATGACTCCTGTACTTCCAAAAAGGCCCCCCTGTCCGTGGTTACTGTCTGAAGTGGAATTCTCTGACAGAAAGCTCTACCTACCAAGCTGGTGACATCACTCCAGGCATCCCTGTGGACATTAGTCCTGGCCCTCTCTTCTCTGTCCCCTCTCAGCCAGGCACTGACACGGCTTTGTCCCCTGATCTCTTGTGTACACTTTAGAATCGGCCTGTCATTTCCTCACACATCCTCTTTTGGATTTAGGGAGAACTAACATCATGGCATCTGCTCCCATCACTTCATGGGAAATGGATGGGGAGACAGTGGAAACAGTGTCAGATTTTATTTTTGGGGGTTCCAAAATTACTGCAGATGGTGATTGCAGCCATAAATTAAAAGACGCTTACTCCTTGGAAGGAAAGTTATGATCAACCTACACAGCATATTAAAAAGCACAGACATTACTTTGCCAACAAAGGTCCGTCTAGCCAAGGCTATGGTTTTTCCAGTGGTCATGTATGGATGTGAGAGTTGGACTGTGAAGAAAGCTGAGCACTGAAGAATTGATGCTTTTGAACAGTGGTGTGGGTGAAGACTCTTGAGAGTCCCTTGGACTGCAAGGAGATCCAACCAGTCCATCCTAAAGGAGATCAGTCCTGGGCGTTCACTGGAAGTACTGATGCTGAAGCTGAAACTCCAATACTTTGGCCACCTCATGTGAAGAGTTGACTCATTGGAAAAGACCGTGATGCTGGGAGGGATTGGGGGCAGGAGGAGAAGGGGACGACAGAGGATGAGATGGCTGATGGCATCACCGACTCGATGGACATGAGTTTGAGTAAACTCCGGGAGTTGGTGATGGACAGGGAGGCCTGGCGTGCTGCGGTTCATGGGGTCGCAAAGAGTCGGACACGGCTGAGCGACTCAACTGCACTGAACTGAACATTGTTAGTTCTAATAACATTGTTACGCTGTTGTCTTCCAATTGTTAACAGAGTTGTTCCCTTCATTAATTTAGGTCTTATTTTTTAACAAAGTTTTAAAATGTTTTCCATAAAAGCCTTCAGAGGGGAACCCTTGAATAAGGTGCAGAATGAAACACTGGCAGTTACTGGCTCCTGTTTATCCATGTCAAATGATATTAGTTCAGGCATTTCTTAGGATTTAGGGATGTCAGTACAAGGATCAGAAGACTGAGAAGTTTAACTTGTCCTCTAAAATGTTTTTATGTATAGCTATAATATTTGTAAGAAAAAATACTGCAGAGACTGGACTAACTGATCATGGATACTCACCCCAGACTTAATGTAAACAGGAGAAAACACCCAACCAAGAACACAGAGGATAAATGCAGCCTGAAACCAAGAAGAGAAGAGCAATTACATCAGGGTCCCATCTCAACCAGGCTCTTAAAGGAGATGCAAACTCAGTTACTAACTGTTTTGAGCCCAATAAATGCATCACCACTGGGAACCTTGCAAGCAACAGCCCAAGAATAAACGCTCTAGGGGAACAAAATTAACTTATAGGCACTTGATCTTTGCCTATAAAGGTGCATTCTTAATTTTTTCGGGGGGGGGGGGCATGCTTACCTGAGCCAATTTTCAAGGTATTTATTAAAATTTATATTTGCTTAGCTCCAGATAGGATCAAAGATAACTGATCATTAAACAAAGAAAGACAGGTTGAAAAGAATCAGAAACCATTCAGAGAAACAGTAGAGAAACTATACCAAAATTTATACAGGTTATTGAAATTAAGTAATACACTTCGCTTCAACTTTCTTTACAAAGAAGAGGTAAGCTGAATATAAGGAGATGTTAGTAAATTCTGAGAGGTAAACTGTGGTAAAGACCAGGGCTCCTTATTAGGTTTGGAGCTGACTGTTAGAAGTGTTATTTCTTTTTGTAATCTACCAGGAGAAAGATGAGACCCAGAAAGAGGGAGCTTTCGGATTTATAAAAAAGGTCAGGTGATTTATATAGATATAGGTTAGTTAACCCAAAACTTATAAATTCACATAATTTCGGTGAACAAACTCTACATCCTACAACAAATATATCCCACAGATTAAAAATAAATAACCCATTTTATAAGTTTTATAATTGAAACAGGTATTCATAGATCAATTAGAGGTTTTATAGTAATCACTTGAATATCTCAAAGAACTCTGCTGACCCTATTCTCAATGTACAGTTGACCCTTGACCGACTCCCATATAGTAAAAAAATATGCATAATGCTAAATCTGTCTCAAAAACAAACTGAAAAATTACTCACCCAAGGGTGAAGCTGAAAGAGTTTGGACAGAATCAGGACTCAAAACCTAGTTCTTTTGATTCCACATACAGTGATCTCTAACCAAACACAAACTTCACCCCACTTAAGTCTATGTAAAGATCTGTGAAATGAAAATACAGGTCCTATATTTACAGAAAGAGTCTGTGTATACGTGGACCTGCACAGTTTATTTATTTATTTTTCATTTATTTTTATTAGTTGGAGGCTAATTACTTTACATCATTGCAGTGGGTTTTGTCATACATTGAAATGAATTAGCCATGGATTGGACCTGCACAGTTTAAACGTGTGCTATTCAAGGGTCACCTATATACTGGAAATGTATATACACAGATAAAGACACACACATATATACACATGTATACACATATACACAGATGTATACTGGAAATGTATACATGCAGATAAAGACAGACACATGTATACACATGTATCTGTAGGTACATATACACAAATGTTTACGTTTGTATCTATTAGTTACTATGACCCTATCTGACCAGTCTCCTAACTGTATTCCTATGGTCCCTGGAATAAAAACATTCTCTGTCTCACAATCTTTTTGAGAAATGAAACCCTTGGTTCCTTTCTTCCATGACTTCCCAAGGAGTCTTTCACATTTACTTAGGCCTTTCTGAATTTCATTTGGACACTGATAGAGGTGGAGGTTCGCTGCCGCCAAAGGCACTACTCACGTTCCACTCGAAGGTCCCGACAGCAATCCCTGAAGACGCCCCTTTTCCAGCCAGACCCATAAAGTGGCCAGTGCCAATATTTGAGGCAAAAAGAAAAGCACCTATCTGAAAATCAAAAGACAATTACAGATCAGAACTCTTATCCAACTCCAAAAACTAATTTTCACAAATGTAACCTCAAACTGAATTTCACATTTCCTCAAAAGAGATTACACTTTGGGCAGAATTCCTATTTGTAATTTTTCTATACAAAAGCCTCACCATAAATTAGAGGCCAAGTAAAAACAGGGATGAAGTGAAAAAAGCAGCACTGCTGTTCTTGTGCTGCCCTAACTACCACCCCCCCGCCCGACTGACTTGCAACTGCAGAAATATTAGCAGCAGTGTAATTTCATCACTGTTTGAGGTTATTTAGAAATACTTAACAACTGAGCTGATTATAAGAGAATGATGGAAATACTAAGGTAGTGAATATGATGAAATACAATGTAGCCTACAGAAAGAATAAAGGAGCTCTATCAAGTGATGAAAATAAGGTAAACAACATTTATAATTTAATCTTATTAAAATTTACTGTGTGCATGTAAACTTGTACACATTTGTGTTTATATACAAATGGGTGTGATTCTGGTAGTACATATATAAAAAATACTTCTGGGGACTGAAATCACTGTTATAGAAATAGAATAGGGAGAAAATTTCAAGTTCTATAATTAGATTGTAACTTTGTGTGTTTTTTTTTACAACCAGCATCTGCTACTTTCAAAATAAAAAATCCCAGAGGCATTTAAAATGAATAAAATCCCTCCTAACCCAATAATAGCTTTTTAGTTGCGTAGAGATAGCCATCAAAATCCAAACCCAAATACTGTGCTGTATTTGACACAAGATCCCTTAAAACGAAATTATTAAGAGAGGCTGAAAATAGCAAGGCCTTTTAGGTAAAAACAAAAAAACAAAGCACTGACAAAATTAACATAAGATAAAGTAGCATTCAATACCAAGAGCATTAAATATGACAGAGGTTTGTTTGTTTTTTTAAACCACGAAATGTAAAATGCACTAGTTAAGACACAATTGAGAATATACAGGCACCAAACGTCTTAGCAGCAGTGAATATAAGGCAAACAACCCTTAGGAGAGACACATAATAATTACTCAAGTAGTTATTTTTACTTGCTACCTTTATCATAATAATGAAAAACTATATACAGTTTAAACTGCCCAAAAATATGGTACATAAATAGTGGACTGTCCATATGATGTATCACTAGGCAACTGTGTATAAAAGTCTATCTATCTACCAACGTTTATACAGACTTAGGGAGACCTTAGTACATTATTAAATGAAAGCGTTAGTCACACAGTCATGTCCAACTCTTTTTGACCCCATGGACTGAAGCCTGCCAGGCTCCTTTGTCCATGGGATTCTCTAGGCAAGAATACTGGAGTGGGATGCCATTCCCTTCTCCAATTAAATGAAAAGGTAGACTAAAAAGTCATCAGTTATTAATTAACTATAAATAAATGTCCACTGCAAACTATGTGCCAGACAGCATTGCAAGCAACTAGACATTAGTGAGTAAAGCAGATCCTTGCCCTCACAAAGCTAACACTCTGTTAGGAACAGGAGTACAAACAAAATAAATTAAGGGACTGTTTCGCAGCACAGTAGCCAGGGGTAAGCAGTAAGTTCCTACAGAGGAGGAGAAGGCAGGAAAGCAGACAGGAGTGCTGAGCTGTAGGTGAGGCAGGGCTGACCTTCCTGAGGAGGGGTGAGGCAGCCCAGGGTGCCTGGGAGAGTGGAGGGCCTCCAGGCCAAGGGAGCGGCAGTCAAAGTCCCTGAGGCAGGAGCGTGGCTAAACCTCTCAAGGTCAGAGAGGTGAGGAGGTGCAGGTCATCCATCTGTGGCCTGAGAGAGACTGGCTTTCATTCTGGGGGACACAGGAGTCCCCAGAGGGCTGAAAGCAGTAAGGCGGCTTGTCCTACCCCTTGGCTGTCTTGTTGAGGCTGGATGTGGAGGCCAGCAGGTGGAAGAAGGGAGTCCAGAGAGAAGCTGTTACAATGAATCCGCATGGAGGATGAGAAGGGGTCAGATTTCAAATCTGTTTTCTAAACGGAGTTGCAGGACTTCCTGATGGACTAGAAGATGGGGCGAGAGAGAATGAAGAGTTTGACTCGACTCCCCATGTGTCAGCCTGAGCAGCTAGAGGTTGAAGCTGCCGTTCGGGGACAAGAGATGGGGGGGGGGGTGGGGAGCAACCGTGCAGAGGACATGCCGTGTGCAATAGCTGACAGGCCTTTCAAGTGAAGGGGGAGGTGGGCAGAGGGACACACAGGACTGGAGAGCGCTGGGGCTTGCCAGCATTCCAGCAAGTCACCAGGTGTGGGAGTGTAACTGAAGTGTTAAGAAGCCAGGGAGATGGGGAGGAAGCAGCCAGGGGCCCTCGATGAGCGGCTGGTGAGGCAGCAGTAAAGGTGGGAAGCCCAGAGGCGACATGAGGCAGGAAGGGCACTGAATTTCAGCCTCACCACCATGGAGCCAGGCAACAGGAGGCCTGGGCACCAAGCCAGGAATAAGCCCCATGTAGGCCCTGGGGAGTGCAGCTCACACCCACCGGACAGTCACTGACCAAGCAGAAGTAGAGAAGAAAGAAAGCTGGCGTGGCTAAACTATTCTTGTATTTCAATTCCTTTTAATAATACCATATCACAGTTTACTCATTCAGCAGTAATTCTAAGAATGGCAACAGAAGTCACATCCAACTCCCACTCTGCACTGCGCACTTCAGAGAGCAGGGCACACTACACCTGGTCTGGGTCCCAGAACGCAGAGCAAGGCTCTGTACCTACCAGGCACCTGGTGATGGCTGTTGGACTAGGCTGAGCCAAAGGGAATACTTATGTAAGAAACTACTTGAGAGCTAAGGGAACTACTAATGAGGTGACTTTCCTGATTTAGCAACTTTAAATTATGTGGGGTAAAAAGCATCTACATGAAAGGAATAAACAGATCCACACGCAGTTCCATAGTGGACCACACGGGGGCATGCTCACCTGCCACCACACCAGGTTTCGTCCAGCCAGGAAGAAGTCTTCTACTGTCGCACGACTGCTTGACACGATAACCTTAAAATGGGGTGGGGGGAATCCAAGTAACCAGTGATGACCTTCATTTACAGGTAAATGTCCTTTGCAGAGACCCCATTCCCCTGTTTGTTTTTTAGGAACAGAAGCCTTTGCCCACTGAGTCAGAGGTGGTCCCACGGTGCCTCCCAGCTGGGAGACTGCATGGGCACATCCATTTCTTCACACTCCTGTGAAAACAAGATTGTTTTATTTCCTTCCCCCACCCCCAAATGGTTAACCAGTGCCGTGGTTCCCAGAAGAGTCTGGGAGATGAGTGGTTTGCAAATGCCTTAATCGACTGGGAATGGTGAAGGTGAACACAGCCCAGCTTCTTCTAGGAGGGCAGTCACGTTGCCGAGATTATGGTGTCCTCCCCACACACCCAGAGGCTCTCTTCTCCGGGACCCAGCTCTGATCCTCAGACCCAAAACAGTCGAGGGGCGATGCCGGGGCTTCCTGGACTGCCTAAAACAGCAGGGCCCAAGGATGACCGCTGGCTGACAAACATGCGTCTCTGTGTAAGGAGTGGACCTGTGTCAGCCATCGGAGTGTCTGCACTGTGACCAAGCCCCTCACCTCACCAAAGAGAAGCTCTCCAAGTCAGGCACTTGAAGGCAGTCTCATTCGCCCACCCACTAAGTGCTAATCAAGAGCCCATGATGCTCAGAGCTGGCCTCTCATGAGAAAGGCATCAGCAGGATGTAAGGACTTGTGCGTTAGAGCTTTCAGAAGGAATTTACCAAATGTTCTAAGATGAATAAAATCACTCTCTTTCCAGTAAAGAAAGAACCAGAGAGGGAGACAGGAGGTCTGGGAAGAAAGTGGTTACACACGTCTTGCCTCTTTCTTCCTCCCTGCTCTCCTTCTAGAATGATCCACCAACCACGGCCCCTTCCTTCCTCCCTGCTCTCCTTCTAGAATGATCCACTGACCACGGTAGGCAGGCTGCTGGGGCAGAAGATGCATTCACCACTTTCTCAAAGATCTCAGGCTGAGACTGATAACAGAGACAAACAAACAAATAAATAAGTTTTTTCCCCTTAAGCATCCTAAAGGACCCAAGACACCAGCAACAAAGACAAGCTTTCCCTGTGGGGCTTCATGGACAGAAGCTGACGAATGATTTCAGAAAGGAGCAAATGTGGGAAATTCCTATCAGTGAGTAAAGGGTGGTTTGCTTAATAACCAGAAGAAAATAAAGCTCAATTCTTCCATCACATTATATACAAAAGCAAATTCCAGATGTTCAAGAGATTTAAATACTTGTAAAAATCCATAAAATATTAGAAGAAATTTAGAATAATATTTGTACATCCTTGGAGTGGGGAAAACTGTCCTGAGCAAGCCAGGAATGAAATCTAGATGTAAAAGAAAGGAGAGATATTTGTTAAGTGTCAGAAAGATGCCAGTAACAGTCTAGACCAACGGTTCTCAACCCCACCCTCCAGGGGACACCTGGCATTGTCTGAAGATACTTCTGGCTGTTAAGGGGTAGGGCTTGGGGTGCTTTTAAGCATCCTATGATACGCAGGAAAGACCCCCACAACAAGGAATTATCTGGTCGCACACATCAGTAGTCCTGAGGCTGAGAACCACTGGCCTAAAAAATGATAGTTTGGGAAAAACAAGTTAGCAACTCAAAACGACAGACAAGCTGATAAATGCAAGGTTGAACAATCCAATTCAAAAATGGGCACATAACCTGGCTATTCACAGAAGAAGAAAATCAGTGGACAACAAGCTCATGAGGAGATGGTCAGTTCACAGGAGGCTGAGTGTAGAAAGTGCAAATCAAAGCTGCGGTGACTTATCACTATTCACTCATCAGCCTGCCCCCACCTCCTTCCCAAAATTAAATGAGAAGTAACACACCAGGTCAGTCAGAGCCTGAGGAAAGAGTGTGCTCAGATGCTACGTAGCAATTCCAATTTCAGACATCGATGCTACACAGATTAAAAGCACTACACATTAAAAACAACAACCTGGCAATAATCTCAGTGTCAGTGAGTCGGGAAGAGCTGAATCACACACATTTGTCTGACTACAGCGCAACTGATAAAAACACGAGCTAGATCTCTACTTATAGCCCAGGAGGATTTCACGTCATGTAGTAAGGGAGAGAAGCAAGCCGCAGAGTAATGTGTATGATATGATCACATTTTTTGTAAAAACAAAATGCAAAAACTCTACCTGTGTGTCTGTGTTGTTGTTTAGTCGCTAAGTCATGTCCAGCTCTTTGTGACACCATGGACTGCAGCCCTCCAGGCTCCTCTGTCCATGGGGTTCTCCAGACAATACTAGAGTGGGTTCCCACTTCCCTTTCAGGGGTATGTCTCTGTAAGCACTGAGAAAGGGGAGGAGGGACACGTGGCTCCTGGGGATCTCAGGGGCTGGGAAAGGATGAGGAAAGAACAGAAAGTGCTTTTGACAGTTAATGCATCTTTTTACTTCTAAGAATTAACATGTGATTAAAAATAAATATGATTTTTTAAGAAGACCAAAGGAAAAATAACAATACGAAGAAGGAAAAAGATCAAACCATTCTGGACAACAGTGCATGTTTTTTGGCTCCTAGAAGAACAAAAGGAACAGCAGCTTCCTTTGGAAGCATCCAGATGGTTTACACGTCCTCTGACCTTGGCCAGACCTAGGCCCCAACAGCGTCCAGAAGAAAACTGGGTGGGGGCTTCCTAATTAAGGGAAGTTGGGGGAAGGGTCCCAAAACAAGTGCCCACTACTTAGAGCCCAGCCTAGGCTACCTAGAAGGATGTTTCTTCTGTGCGTGTGTGCTCAGTTATGTCCGACTCTTTATGACCCCATGAACTGTAGCCCACCAGGCTCCTCTGTCCATGGGAGTTTCCCAGGCAAGAATACTGAAGTGGATTGCCATTTCCTACTCCAGGGGATCTTCCCGACCCAGGAATTTAACCCTCATCTCTTGCATCTCCTGCACTGGCAAGGCAGATTCTTTACCACTGTATCACCTGGAATGTTTCTCATAATGGAAGACAATTTGAAAAAAAAAAAAAGTCATTCATTTGAATGATCTAGATAAACCTCAGACTTCTTTCCACTTGGAAGAGATTAAAAAAAAATTATCTTAAGAAGATGGAGACCATACTTCCATTAGTCTATCTGCCCACTCACACTGCATGGTGAGCCCTCAAGAGCCTGTCCAAAGATCCTGCTTGGAAGGGCCAGATTCTGACACTAAGATCCTGCTCGTAACCTCATGAAGCACTACAATTAAAGGTCACAGGGGCAGGAAGGCTCCAGCTGGGCGGGAGCGGCCCAGAATGAAATCTCCCCCTAGTCAGCAAACAGTCACACTGTCCCCAGCTAATCCTGCTCATAAAGCAGGCCGGGGAGAGGCTTCCGATAGGTAACAGCCTAGCCGAGGGGCCACAGCATAACCAAAGCCAGTCTTCGGCCCTGCCCTCTGACCTTTTGCTGTCTGGCTCTGAGGGTATTTCTTTGAGTCTTATAGTCTGTGAGTGCTTACAAGTTAAGCGAAGAGCCAGAGCCGACTCACTGGAAAAGACTGATGCTGGGAAAGGCTGAAGGCAAAAGGAGAAGGGGGCAGCAGAGGATGAGATGGTTAGACAGCATCACTGACTAAACGGACATGAACTGGAGCAAATTCTGAGGGAGAGGGGCTTGGCGTGCTGGAGCGCACAGGGTCACAGTCAGACACGACTTAGTGACTGAACAACAGGTGAAGCGTTAGCAGGCAGATGGCAGTACCGGAGACCCAGTATCCAACCTATTAAGAGAACTTTACACTAGAGAGTACGTAAGTGCTCAATTCAAATTCAGTGGAACACTCAGGGCCCTGAAATACACGGGACCTTTGAGGTTTTGCCAGCTAGGGCCTCTGCGTGGCTACCCTCATGCCTCAGAAAGGGGCAGCTCTAGGTTCAAGGCGCACTCCATCATTCCCGGTGGTTACTCAGGCTCTTCCAATCTCTTCCTCCTCATCTGTGATCCACAGCCTGGCTATGGGGTGTGCCACACTCAAAGCCCTCAACACCCAACCCGGCCCTGTAGGGGCCTGTGGTCACTATTGGGCAGGGCTCACTACTGCGACCGTCACAACAGCAACTCCCTACTGCACGCAGCGGGGGTCCCAGGCCGCGGGCACTGGTCCCTCTGACCTGTTTATTTGGGCGTGTGGGTAGGGAAGATGGGCTTGGACTTGTCCTTCCTCTTGGTGGGGAGCAGGCTGCACGGGGATGGAGAGTTCCCGGCAAAGGGCTGCGCAGGAGCAGGGACAAGAGGGAGGCGAGGTGGGGACCAGATGACAGGCAGATGAGGGTCGGGAATCGGCCTGGCGTTCATTCCTCCCCTCCCCCCACTCCAAGCCCCACTTACCCACAGCGCAATGCCCAGAACCAACAGGAAGTACAAAACTATCACCAGGACGTCCAGGGTACTGTTGGAGCTAAAGAGTTGAGCCGTCCAGCCGAAGCTCTGCCCAGCGGAGGTCATGGTGGTGCGTCCCAGCGACTGAGCACCACCAGCTGACTGAGGGTTGCAACGGCCTCAGTGGGACTCTGGCGACTTGGCCGCGGGGCACGCTGGGAAGGGCCGCGGGGCACGCTGGGAAGGGCCGCGGGGCACGCTGGGAAGGGCCGCGGGGCAGTCTGGGCGTTCCGGCAGGCCCCGCGCGGCCTGATTCCTATCTTCTGGAGGCCTCTCTTCGAGGGCAGCATTCACTGCCAGTCCAGGCACAGCGCCGTCTGTCTAGTGGCCAGAGTCGCTCTGCCCTGGACCGAGAGCTGGTCGTGGGGTGGGGCTGGCTCAAGGCTACCGAGCCACATGGAGCCTGGGGTGGTGGAAACCAGCTATAACTCTCCTGTCTTTATTTACCGTTTCGATCTTCTGTCCCTTGTGGGTTTGGGACATTGATTTGGATTTATTAAAGTATTGCATTTGAACATTATGTATCCAGAGTCCTGAGTTTTCTTGGTTCCCCCCTCCTCTTAAATCCTGCTTCGAGGAAACTGCCTTGTTCGCCTCCCCCAAATCATGGCCCTGAGTGGACCAGCTGATCACAGAGGGTCCTCAGCTCTCTGCAGTTTGATCTTTTTTTTTTTTTGCGGCGTCTCCGACTTCTCTCCGGGTGGCGGCGGCGACTCCTTCGAAGGGAGACGCGTGAGATAGGGTGACACGAACCGGCTGCGAGAGACCGGGTCGCGTCTGCGGGAGTCTAGCGACGGACGCCTTCCGAGAACCGCCTTCGCCGACGCTCAGCCGCAAAATGCAGTTTGATCTTTTATGGGTGATATGCAAATTCTCAAGCTGGGCCAAGCCTCACTGTCCTTGGTGTGCTTCTCTGCTGAGTTGAAGTCCTAGAAATCTTGGTCAATAATACAAATAACAGTAACAATAATAAGAGCTAACACATAGACTTACTTCTATACACTTTATATGTATTAACCCATTTGTTTGCAAGCTAAGTCGCTTCAGTCCTGTCCGATTCTTTGCGACCCCGTGGACTCTAGCCAGCCAGGGTCCTCTGTCCATGGGACTTTCCAGGCAAGAATACTGGAGTGGGTTGCCATGCCCTACCCCAGGGGATCTTCCCCACCTAGGGATGGAACTGCATCTCTTAAGTCTCTTGCATTGGCAGGCAGGTTCTTTACCGCTAGCTGCCACCTGGGAAGCCCATTAACCCATTTGATTCTCCCCCAAAACCAGTCAGTTTGTGTCTAGGACTACAGGGCATGAAGCTTGCAGCTGGTTAGAAGTCTATGGCCTCAGCTTCTTGCGCAGAACTCTGTGTCCTAGCTTAGATCAGCACTATTCAAAAGATATATAAAAGATATATAACCTTGAAGGACATGGGTTTGGGTGGACTCCGGGAGTTGGTTGACGGACAGGGAGGCCTGGTGTGTTGCGGTTCAGGGGGTCACAAGGGAGTCAGGCACGACTGAACCACTGAACTTAACTGAACTGTGACACATGGATCTTCATTTTTTCCAGCTTGATTGAGGTATGATTGACAAAAGTTGCACATTTAAGATGTATGATGCAATGTTTGGTATAAGTATACATTGTGAGATAATTACTATGATCAAGCTAATATAAATCACCTCAGTTGCCATTTTTCCTGTGTGTAGTGCAAATGCTTGAGATCCCTCTTAGAAAATCTCAGATATACAATATGTTACTAACAGAGTAATCTCTGCGCTGTGCTATAGTCTCTAGAATTTATTTATCTTATAACTGAAGGTTTGTATCCTTTGATCCATATCTCCCTTTTGCTCCAGTCAAAGTGAAGTCGCTCAGTTGTGTCCAACTCTTTGCAACCCCGTGGACTGTAGCCTACCAGGCTCCTCCTTCCATGGGATTCTCCAGGCAAAGATACTGGAGTGGGTTGCCATTTCCTTCTCCATGCTCCTAGTTAACCATCCTTCTATTCTCTGTTACTATGAAGGTTTTGTTTGTTTTGTTTAAGATTTCACATGTAAAATCATGCAATATTTGTCTTACTGTGTCTGGTTTATTTCACTTAGCATAATGTCCTCCAAGTGCCTCTCCATCGTTGCAAATGGCAGGATTTTGAATTTCTTCATCCATTCATCTGTTCATGAACAGTTAGCTCTTTCCATATCTTGGCTGCTGTAAATAACACTGTAGTGAACAACCGAGTATAGATATCACTCTGAGATAGTGATTTTATTTTCTTTGGACATATACCCAGAAGTATGACTATTAGATCATAGGATAGTTCCATTTCTAATATTTTGAGGAAACTCCATGCTGTTTTACATAGTGGCTGTACCAGTTTATATTCCAATCAGCAGTGTACTGGTATTCCCCTTTTTCCAGTACTTGCTGATACTTGTTATATTTTGACTTTTTTGTTAGAAGCCATCCGAACAGGCGAGAGGTGATATCTCACTGTGACTTAGGAGCTTAGCCCAGATTTTAATTGGATTGTTGTCGTTCTTTTCTTGCTATTGATTGTATGAGTTCCTTATACATTTTGGATATTAACCCCTTATTGGATATATTGTTTGCAAGTATTTTCTCCCGTTCTTTAGGTTGTTTTTTCACTTCGTGTATTGTTTCCTTTGCTGTAAAAATTAAAATTTTCCAGTAGCTACATTTAAAAAGTAAGCAGGTGAAAATCTAAATAATAAAGTTATTTTAGTTAAGCCAATATGTCCAATAAGCCAAAATATTAACATTTCAATATACAGTCAATGTAAAAATTGTTGGACTATTTTATAAGTATATATTACCACATTAAGTCTTTGAAATCTGGTGTATATTTTACACTTACAGCACACCTCAATTTGCATGCTAGCTTTTCATCAGAAATACTTGATCTGTCTTTAGATTTAACAAAATTCACAGTTGAAAAAAATAGGTTCACTTATTAAATTGTTCTAAATATACTTGAAACTTTTCCAGTAGCTGAATAGAGTACCAAAATTTCATTTTCCCTTGTTGATGACAAAAAGAGTTCATCTTTTTAGATGAATTGATTTGACTTTGATGCAAAAGCCCATCAGTTTCAAAATTATGTCTTTCCAAATTAAATAATTCACTAACTCTTGTTGATTGAATATCATTAACATTGAATTCAGAGGCATGATATAATTTGAAAAGTATCTCTAAATTGATCAATATCACAAAGCATTCTTCATTCAAGTTTTTCTTGGATTGTTTGTTACCAATTACATAACACAGCCAGTTAAAATTAAAATCTTTAACATATTGACTTGTGTCAGAACAATGTGTAAAATAATTATTATTGATTGTATTATGAAGCTTCCCAAGTACAAATTCATATACCAGCTAGCTTATGGGCTTCCCTGGTGGCTCAGATGGTAAAGAATCCACCTGCAATTCAGGAGACCCGGGGTTTCATTCCCTGGATTGGGAAGACTCCCGAGAGGAGAGCATGGCAACCCCCTCCAGTATTCTTACCTGGAGAACCCCATGGACAGACAGCCTGGTGAGCTACAGTCCAAGGGGTTGCAAAGAGTCGGACATCACTGAGAGACACAGCAAGGCTAGCTTACAAATAAGCTTTTCCTGTTTTCGACTATTCAAATTTATCTCATTCATATACAGTATGTATTAGTGAGTATAAGTATGTATAAACACAGACTGCCATTTTTGGACCTTTGCTTATTGAATATTCAACAAACATTCCTTTCATTTCTAGAAAATCTTGAATTGAAATTGACATCACAGTAATTCTTTATAAAATTTCCAAGATTCGGCCAACGAGCATTGGCAAAAGCACATCAACAAATTCATAGCCTTCTATTTCTCTCAACAGTTCTATAAAACAGTGATGATTTGTATCAGTTGCACATATACACTGAGTGATTTAAACAATTGTACGTATCTATGATGCTTTTCATAGTCTGCTATAAAAACTAAGCACAAAGTTTTTAAATATATATCACAAATTTTAATAAAGCAGTTTATCTTTTGCATTTTATAATCCCGTTAAATCTGGAGTTTTAACCTGAACACTGGTAGAACAGTGTCTGTCATGATAAAAACAAACAAACAATACAGCAACTATTTTCCCTTCAGATTTAGCTGAAATTCTTCTTTGACAATGTCAGAGGTTTAAAAGATCCAAGCCACAAATTCAATCTTTTTTTTTTTTGCTCTGTAGCTTGTGGGATCTCAGTTCGCCAAACAAGGATCAAACCCAGGTCTCCTGGCAGTGGAAGCAGGGAGACCTAACCACTGGACCACCAGGGAATTCCCAAAGTTCAATCTTTAAGGTCATCGATTGGCAACATTTCTTCATAGGTCTGGATGTCCTTTGAGACAAAAGGTATTCAAAATATTAACTGGGCAAGGTCTCATGTCACATGACTCAACTAAAACTAAAGAGAAATACTTGCAAATTTTAAAATTTCGAATCCATTTTTGGTATTATTGGAAAGACCTTGTATTCCATGGGCAATTGTTTTGAGGCTTTAATTGAAAAATCTCTCACTTTTTGTAAAATATCTTTTGAATAGTATTTTCCTCATAATTTCCTAACAAATTTCCACAACTGAAACAATTCCTTTTGTCATCTTTCCATCTAAATTGTTTTTGTTAGTGCAAGATTCCAAGCTATTTTAAATCTGGCCAAAGTTACAAACTCAAATTCTGTTAAAAATCATCACAATGTGTTTTGGACATTTGTTTTTTATTCCAGGCAACTAACTTTATATATATATATATATATATATATATATATATATATATTTTACCACGGAGCAAACATTTTAAAAAATCAAATCCACTATGTAGTTGTTGAAATTTTATATTAGTGTTCACTGTATTATCTTTATTTTTCACACACCCAACAAATATGTCTACCATGAAGAGTAAAAAGTGAACGTGTTAGTTACTCAGTTGTGTCTGATTCTTGGCGACCCCAAGGACTATAGCCCACCAGGCTCCTCTGCCCATGGAATTCTCCAGGCCAGAATACTGGAGTGGGTAGCCATTCCCTTCTC